TATATATTTATTTGAATATTCATGTAAAATGTATGAATTCTGTGATGCCCTTACATATATAACCATGGAAATAATTTCATATAAAAGTCTAATTTGAAATAGCATGAAATGTAATCCTGGGAAAGACAAATACTTTTCAATGTCTATTAAGATTTCAACACTTTTGGCTTAAAATTTCAATTACTTGATATCAACATAGCTTTTATGTACAACAATATGAGTTCCTAGAAGAATTCAAAACCAAAGCCAAAATATTAGAGATAACTGTTATTTAATATTTCCTCATATATAAAATAGGGTTGCCCTCAGAAGAAAAAATTATCACTTCAGTTTGCATAAAAATGGGCAAGACTTCAGTGACTTCAAACAAGACATGAGGTGTTGGCATAAGAAGATTCAATTCCAAACTGAAACTGCTAATGTTCTGTACTTTTCTCATGTGCCGGTATCTCTATATTGAGATTGGCATTTGAAATAAAAACTTCAGGCAGTAGAGGCAATTCTGGTCGGATAATGCTGGTGGAAGACAGCTGGCATGATATAGCTGTAGCAACAGAAGAGAAACATGACAAATTGCAGCTCATTACAATTCAGATGCTGAACAAGGTATGTATGAAATGATGGATTTCGCAACAAAAGGATTTTAACTGCAGAAGACCTTCAAGAATGGTTATGAATCACCAAGAATTTAGGCTCAGGAACATCAAAACTGTATCCTTAATGACCGAAAAAAGTTTCTTGGTCTCACATCTGGTTTTCTGTTCCATTATGATAATGATAGAGCAGGAATATGATACAGGCAGCATGAGTTCATGAATATTTCTAGCCTAATGACAAGAATTCAAGCTGACAGGTGTGGAATTCTGGTCTGAGGAAAATTTCTTTGGAGCCCAGTGAGTCATTTGTTTGAAAACAGCTTTCATCACCACAGCTTACTTCAGTATCATTGCTGATCACATATTCTCACTTATAGCTGTGATATTTTGTGATGCATATGGTCACCTACAGAACAATGCACCTTATAGCTGTGATATTTTGTGATGCATATGGTCACCTACAGAACAATGCACCTTATAGCTTTGCATGATTGCCTCAAGTTGGTTCAAAGCATGATTCAAAGTTCAAATTCGAAAGCTACTCTATAAAATCAGTAAAAAATAGCAGCCTTAGTATGGCATATAGATTTTGAATAACTCTATAAATTTTGAGGATGATCAGAAACAGGTCCTCATTTTTAGGAGAAAAAAGAATTCTGCAGAATTTTTGTCCCCATTTTACTTGTTAATGAAAAAAATTAATAAAAACATCTATGAAGATTGTGGTTTTTTCTTCCTAATTTTTAATTTTATATTATCATATTCTCTTTTAGTGAGGAAGCTTTCCAAGTATGGACAGCATTAGTCAAATAATTTCCAGAAATGAACAGTTCATCAATGAACATTTGCATTAAAGACATCGTGAACAATTCGCACAAATGTTTGCCTTACCTAATTAAAATGCTGTGAAAATACCTATAATATGTTTCTGGTTATATTAATTCAATATTGCTATTTAAAGGACATATTTTTCTCATTGTTTAATATTATTATTCAGTTACTGTTATCAAAATAGTGCACAAACCTGATTGCATTAAGCAATGTACAAGGACATAAAACATTTAAACATAAACTTTTACCTATCATTTATAGCAAAATTTTGTTGTAAAATACTTATAAATAATGAAAGGTATGCAGTGATATTTGAATTTTGTCTACAAATTCCAAAATATATATATATACATAAAGCTCCTATTTTTTCTCACAAAATTATATTTTGATTGCATGTAATATTTTTAAATTAAGGTAACTGAGATCTTTCACTTGAATTTTGCATGTCAAGTGTAACTGATTTTCTCCTTTTATTTTTTTTAAATCTCTCTTGTTATTTAAAAGTATTAAGAATTTTACAAATTTACATCAGATATTTTGAATAATGAATAAATACTCATAATTCTATCCACAGTGTAGAGACATTAGGGTTTTTTGGAAGCAGAAGAGATAAAAAATTAGAAAACGCCTTCGCCAGGAATTGAACCCTGGACATCTGGAATACTGGCCCAGCATGCAGAACCGCAACACCACGAAGGCACGCTAGGAAGGCGGGAGAAATACCTTACATACTCCTCCTTTTAAAGGGCGACTGGAGTTTTTAGGGAACCCAATTGCCAAATCCTGGGTGCAGAGATTCATCATCGACAACCCTTTTTTTTAGTTCGAGTGCCACTGTAGCAACATTAGGGTTTTTGGAAGGCAGAAAGAGAAGAAATGGAAGACAAAGGAAATTTGATTGAAAAATTACAAAAAGCCTTAGGAATCAAACTACAAACTTCTGGAATACCGGCCCAGTGTGCAGAACCGCTACACCATGAAGGCATGCTAGGAAGGCGGGAGAAATACCTTGTAATAGAAACTTATCTTACAGCAGATTTACTAAAAATATTAATAAGGCATGATTAACAGGTTTATTAATGTGTTATTTATTTAATATATGTAAATTTATTATATTATTTCTTATGAAAACATACATACATATACGAGTTTTTTATCTATAAAATCCCTGCAAAATTGAACTATATAAAAATGCTGCAAACAGTAAAACCTCACAGCTAAGCAAATACATTACCTCATGTATACTTTAACATTACTTACTCATAAGTTAACAGAAAGATAGGTATACAGTTTATATCTATATGTCTATATTTCAGAAAATGAAGTGATGTCAGAAATGAAGGATATATCAGAAAAATTTTAAATACAGTCATACCTCTATATTTGTTGATTCAGTTACTTAAATTAGTTTAATTAAATTAGGGGGATAAAAATCATTCAAAGTTTCAAAATGCATATAAAATGACAAACAGCCTGTAGGCAAATATAAAATACCATAATTGAAACTAAGCATAAGTACTACATTTCCACAGCAATCATGAAAAAAATATGCACATGCATATACTTTTCTAACCTATATCGTTAAATGGAAGCAGGGCTGAACATACATGTTCTCAGAATTATGCTTTCCTCTTTTCCTCGATGGCTATATAAAATTGTCAACAGGAAGGAGGCCATGGCTGTCAGTGGTCAAAGCAACTGACTTTTAACCCTCTGCTTTACTTCTAGCAACTACTCTATTCTCATTAGTGACATTTTATAACAGCTTTTTATTGTCAGAAATTTTTTATTTACATTACAAGGCCTTCAATATAGATCATCAATTTAAATCTGCTAAAATGGCATGCAGAAATTATAAAATTAAAAATATGAAACCATAATTAATGAAATAAAGAGCAATTATGATCTAAAGGGTATCAAAATTTACAAAAAAAAAAAAAAAAAAAAAAAAAAAAAAAAAAAAAAAAAGTTTAATATTATTGTTTATTAAACATTTCTTTCAATGCAAGTTGTTTAAGTTGCTTCTTTTTATGTGCTAAATACTTCTCTTTTAATTCTATAAACAGACATAATTTCTTGTTCAGTTACAAAGTTCCGCTGTTACGTAACTGTATTGTTTGCGTGTGAAATACCGACTAAATTGTCAATCGAAATTTTTTCATTTTCACTAATCCTCTGTCACTTTCTTCATGCCTTTATCCATTTTTGTGGGAGGAATTCCACTTTTTGTTTGATGGACATCGAAACATGCTTTCGCTTTGTAGATCCTTTGGCAGCTCCAGATCGGAAACTCTTTTTGACCATAATGCAGCATAATTTTTGAAGTCTGCAAAAAGAATAAGCGGACCAATTAGAAGATTAAGGAACACGCATCTGCAACATTAACGGAAATAGATAATTTAGCCTAGCTTATACAGTCGTTGATACGTTAAATGCGCATGCGTAAATTTGCGCGCTGCGTAAATTTACGCTGCGCAGGTTTGCTTTGAGTCCAGATTAAAGACTTTGACAGGTAAATACATGCTTCTAAAAACAAATGGTTTATGAAAAAATGTAATCTACAATAAGAATTTAACAGAATTTTATGTTTATTATTATTATTATGGTCTTAATTCACATTCACTGCTTGTGGCATGGTTGCAGTTAGTTTTTGAATTGGTATCATTTTAGCTGCTAAAATATTTTCTAGAAAATTATCTGCGAAAATTCAGTTTTGCTGTGTTGTTGAAATTAGAGGAAAGAAAAAAATAAATTTTGTATATATATAAATATTCTAAATATAATGCAATAGTTGATACAAGCAGATTAAGGTACTTTTCTATTATCAGGATCAGATTCAGAAATGTACATATGTATGTACAAATATGCACATACAAGCATATTTTTCTGAATCCGGTCCTGATACACTTTCTCGGAAGGGAGGATAAATAAAAGGAATATACAATAGTGACGAAATTCGAGGCTAATGACAGATTTCACAGTTGGTTTTATAACATTTTTTGAAGTATATTTTATTAATCAGACTAATAAAAAATATGAACAAGTTTGAATATAAAGCTTTGAATACCTATTGTATTTTCCATATTCATTAAAAAATAAGTAAAATTATTAAAACACTACATGCAATTTAAGTTTTAACGTTTATATAACATCTAGCAAATTAAACACTGAATGTCTGTTCAAAGATTATACACAAGAAAATGTATCTGCTAAATCTGACATAGTAAAGAATATCCTAGAAACCTAGTAAGGCAACTAGGTTCTAGCAAATAAATTTGATAAATTTCATATTAAAACATTAATGAACATATATATATCAAATGGGCTTAAAAAATATATTAAAAACATTTCCTTAAAAATCACTTTATAAGTGTTCATAATTTTAGCATTTGGATAATATCCTGTGAATTGAAAGACTGAAAATTACTAATCTATATATATAGACAAGATACAAAAAATTAATTTTCTGCATGAGGTGATCAAGAAAAGAACTAGAAAATTAAAATGGTTTATAAATAAATTAATTAAAAATTATTTGTTGGTTCTATATATTGAACAACACATCACATAATGAAAACTGGTATGAAAAAAATATATATATTTATTTAGTAGAGTTACATGTTTCGACGTGATCTACTCCTTCAATTATACTTGCTTGCGAAATAGTATGATCAGTTGTAGCATCATCACCTAATGATAAACTACTATTCAAAAGATCATCAATTCCTGCTGAAAAATCTTCTTCAAGTTCTTCCTCAATGCTTTCTTCAGAATTGAGTTTATTATCACTCAAATCTTCATTTGATTCAGTGTTGTCAGTATTTTTTACATTGGAACTAACTCTTGCATTAAGGTTGATTTCTTCATTAGAATGTTCTGAACCAGATTTCACTGATTCTAAACTCGGGAGTGCACTTTTTGATTCATTGTTAAAAGTCCAATTAGTACTTTTCGATGTTAAAGATGGAAGATCCTTTAGACATGACAAGCTTCCTTTTTCTGAAACTAAAGACTCATTTTTTACATTTGCAGGATCTTTTTTTCCAATTCCATCTTTAAAATCAAATGAGCCGAGTCCTTTTTCAGTTGGAATGCTAAAGTATGGAGATTTTTCTGCAGGAAGCGGTTCATCAAAAAAAGGATCGTGATCAAGACTTGAAATAGTTGTTGTATCTTTAAAAAAAGTATTTATACTAGATTTTTCTTCAGCATTAGGCTTATCAAAAGTAGTATCAAGCAAATCTTTTTTTGTAGCGGATTTCGTTTCAAATAAATCTTTTGCATATATCTCTCCTATAAATGGCTTTTTATTTCCTTTGTCTTTCATACACATTTCACTGTCATCAGCTAATTCATTTGCCACATCATTAGTAACAGCAGATATTTCTCTTGAAAGAAAAGTGTCAGATTTATCCTTTTCTTTGGATAAAATGTCATTAACTAAATTTGATTTTACCGAATCTGATGATGCAATGGCATGCTTTTCAAAAAAATCAGGACTTAAATTTGGAATTTTACCTTTTTCAGACTGTTTACCATTAGTCGTTTTTAATAAGGCTAAAATAACTGGGCCGTCGAATTTTGTGTTTTCGAGTTTTAGTTTATCACAAAGATCTGAGCGATTATAGCAAGGCGAAGAAGAAGAAGCTATTTCAGGATCAAACACCGATAATGTAAAATTGAGATTGAAATACTCTAAAAATTCACGTACGATGGAAACAATTATCTTTCCATCAGACGTTTCAATAAAATCATCAAATTTCTTGTTAAAAAGAGGAACTTTTGTTCTTAAATTACCGTCTTCTTCTAATGCCAAAAAAACACCAGCGCGCAATTCAGCTTTAATTTTATTCAGAAAACCACAACTTTCTAAATTTTGTATTATTAAATCTCGCAATTCTGTTTCTTCCTCGGCAAACATTATCAAAATTAAACTTTCATTAACTCATGAAACATTTATTTGACAACAATGAATATAGGTAGAGAAAGCGTTTAATTACAACGGTCAATTTTGCACAAAATAGGAAAAGGAAATGTATATGGCAACCATCTTACTCAGCCAAATCCAAGGAGGGCCAAATCATAGCATTTGGCACAGTATCATGATTTTCGGTGTGGTTATCAATTGCGTATTGCGTTGAAATTGACGTATATATGAATTTTATTTGTATTCATCTTGTGAATTTATTTGATAATATTTTTTACACAAATGTTTGATATAAAACCAATAAAATTGAAAATCGTATTGACATGATTATCTGTTCCATTGTCTTTTGCTTTATGAAGTATTTGCTTTATATTCTTTAAATTTACTGAACTTTGTACCTGTTTGATTTACTATATATTTATTTTTAGAGTAATGATTATTATTGATTTCTCTAAATTCATCTTCGTCATATATATAGGTAATTTATTCAGTAAAATTTCGTTGAATTATTCCAATTTTTTCTCTTTTTGGTGCAATATTTAGCTGTGTTTACTGTTCCCTTGCGATTGTGTATTTGTTTAGCTGACTTGTATGTAAAAATTAATGTATGTTAAAATATAGTTGATATTTCATTGGCTGTACCTTTTTTCTATTTGTATTTCCTTATTTCGAATCTTTTTAAAATTGCATTTATCAAATACCCGATCGTAATTTTTAATTTTTTTATCTCCCTACAATTGTTTATTGATGTAATAAGTTAATTAACATGTGAATATTTTATCTTCAAGCCTGTTACAGGCATATCAACAATACCTAAATTTTGCAATAGTTTCTTCATTGTCTTATCTTACTTATGAGAAATTTAAATGAGTTATTTTTATGGCTGCTTTATAATCTGTCATGTCTTCCTGAAATTCTCTTCCATGGCATTTTATTTGGAATTTTAATCACGTAAAAACCAGCTTTCTTTTGATTGCTTTAAACAGACAGCTGGGATGCCTTGTGGAGCAGGATTTAAAAATTTTTAATTCTGTTCTTAGGCAGACTTGCTAGTTCTCCTGATTTGACATCATTTGATAAATAGCTGTGTAAAGAAGTATAGAACTGTATGTTATGTAACATTATTCATCTGTTTAAATATTTTTATTCCATGATTGTAGATTCAGTTGAAATAGCATGTTAATGAGAATTGAACACTTAAAAAAATTTAAATAAATAAATAAATAAAGGAACAGTTAAGTTTATGTGCAGATTGAATTATAGCTTTGTATACATATTTTTTCTCATGTTAAAAATATATATACAAAGTTATAATTCAATCTACACATAAACTTAACTATCCATAAAATCCATCCAGTTAATATTATGCAGAAATAAAATAATTTATCATAGAAAAAGTGGCAAAAATATTTTTACTTTTGTGTACAATCGCTGTCGAAATCAATAAAAGTTTTACTTAAAATCTATGTCAAACTGAAGTTGTATTTTTGCATAATTTTAAATTTTGCATTGGCGTGTTTTTCTTTCATTCAATCATCTGTTGTTAAATTATTTAGAAGTGGGTAAATTTACTTAATATTTAATATATTCCTAAATTCTCTGGCCTTTTAGATTTCTTCATTGAAGCATTCTGTTAAGTGTATAGATATTCTTGCTTTTACATAAGACAGGTGATTGTGGTCCCTAATGAAATAGCCAAAATTCTGGCTTTTTTTTTTTTTTTTTTTTTTCTTTTCTCAAATCCAGAACCTCCAAATTTGAGAACTTGCATGTACACATAATCATTATGTACTGTGTTATATCTTATTTATTTATGGACAGGTAATCTTGAAGATAAATGTCCATGATTAATTTTTATTGGTGCAGAAGTCGCAAAGATTATTAGGAATTCTGGAAAAGTTAATTCATTAAAAAATATATATGTTCAAGCTATCCTTAAAGAAATCTGCCTTTATCATATTTAATGGCATCAATCTCACTCTGCATTATGAAACAATTGCTTTGATAGGTTTGATGAAATAAACAGATAATTAATTTGCTAAATGTCATTTAAGCAGATGAACATATTTCTGTCACACCAAAAAGTGAAAAACTATCAAATAGATGCAAAAGTGCAAGAATAACGGAAAAACGAGTTTCTTTCGTGTTAAATCACTTAAAAATACTACGTTTTGCATACCAAAAAAAATAAGTTTTTCTCAATCAGATACCTTTAACTGTATATTGACTATAGGATTTAGAAATAAAATATACATTTAATTTACATCAGTTGCATAGAAGACAAGCTTAATACCACTGTTTAATAAGTAACAATGGGCTATTATTTAAATAAGATGCATTACATTTTATATTTCTAAAATTGAAAACATGAAAAATCTAATTAGAAACAAAATCTCTTCAAAGATGTTGTACACACAGTACAAAACTGTGATGTACTATCTTAAATGAACTCTTAATAATGATATAAATTTCTCTCTTCGTTGCTTTTGTAAATAAATGCTGATTCAAGTTAAAAAAATAGCAAGATCGGAAACAATGTAACCCAAGAAATGTGCATATTTTCATATATTTAAAAAGATAAGGAAGCGATAAATGCTAAGCATGGCAACCAGGATCTTTCACATTGGCGATGTCTTTAATCTGTTATATAGCAGATTCACGGCTCTTAAAAGGTTGTTGCCAAATTTATAACATAAACATTGATGGAATAAAAACAATTGTATGATAAGCGTTTAATTTGCATGTGAAATTATTATCGTTGAAGATGTATTTAATTACTCTGAATATTTATAGAAAAGTTTAAGCAATAATACATTTGAAAAGTTACGAGAAAAGAACCATAACGCTGCATAACTTCAACTTCGTGGTTGACAAGTACGTGTCGTGTATGTTGCGGCACGTACGAAGTTGATACATGTACGACAGAAGTTTCCGTGATAAATGCATGGAGATGCATGTAAGCATAGTTATTTATTTCTTGAAAAAAGACCAGAGCTGTGGGTTTTTGAAATTAGTTGTTAAATTGTTCGCTCTGTTTATATATAAATTGAATTTATTTCTGATCCATTAAGTTTTTGAATGCACTTTACGCCAGCTCATCTCTTTTAAATGAAAATTGAAAAAGATCATCGAGCTGTCGTTATAACTCATTTTTTTTTAAACTTTTTTTTTCAAATCAGTTGATTAACTTCCTTATCTCTCTCTCACTTTGAAATAATTTAGAATTTTAGTATGTTGCAACTGAATTCAAAATGCTAGATTGAACCAAAGATAAGAATATAATTAATAAACGCGAAAATAATGTTTAAAGCAATTATACTGTGAATTAGAAATGCTTGGGACGGGGAAATATATCCGAAGCAGCTTAGAAAAACAAGAAAAAAATTATGCTCATTCTTCATTAATATGCTCATTAGACTTCATTGCTGTATCTCTTGAAGATAATCACATTGTATTATGCAAAATGTATATCAAAATCATAGAGAGGCTGATTGAAATAGTATAGAAATGTTGATTTGACAGTATAATGATTACATTTGACATTTAATATTATTACCACTTTTGATTTCACATTGCTGATAATAAAGTTACATAATACTGAATTAATTGTATATATTTTAAATGTTTTTACATAGCAAGAGTTTGTTTGTTTATTTCAGAAAGAAATATTTTGAGAGGTGCTTTCTTGTGATTGTCAATGTTATCTGTTTCCTATTATTATTTTTTATAGTTAAAAAAATACTGTGGGTACAGTTTTTTAGCAGTGGCTTCCAGTTCACTTTTTAAGTTATTCTTACCAACATCAGATTTTTATTGCCAGTTTCTGTATTGTGGGCTTTTTAACGTGGTGCTATTTTATTATTAGTATACTGAACAAAGTCCAATATTCGGACTTGTTTGGATTTCGGGTGTTTTGGATTTGGGATGTTAGATCATCGGTTTAAGCCTAGTAAGATGACATGTAGAAATTATAAAATTAAAGATATGAAATAATCAAAATTTGGAAAAAAAAAAAAAGCTGAATATTTGTTTGTTTGCTTTAATAAACATTTATTTCAATGTAAATATTAAATCCTTTGTAGATAAACATAATTTCTTGTTTACTTAAAAAGTCCTGTAATTGACATGTTGAGAATTCCCACTAAATTGTTAGTCAGAATTTTTTTGTTCTCAACAACCTGTCCCTTTCTTCACTGTTGATAGTGATATTTTTAGATGTAGAACCATATTACAGATTTTGTTGTCCGTTAGTTAATTGATGATCAGGGCATTGTCATCACAATGAAAACCTTCTTTTATGTCATCTTCAGTTATTACAATTCTCTACATTTCTTCACAGATTCAATTAATTTCAAACTTTTTTTTTTGCAATATTTGAAAAACTTTACATTAGCAGCTAACATCATAAAGTTCACTATACATTAAGTATCAAAGTATCTATACACATTTGGCTATATATCATAAGATTGGTTACTAAAGATGTATTATTCCACTAAATTTTCTCTTGATTTTACAGCACACTGGCGAAGTTAATCTTGAAGTACATTAGTTTAGTTGTTTACTAATTCTTATGTATATTTTCTGCACATGACTCTTATCTGAGTCCTAAGTAAATAAATTCCAACATCTACCTAAATTCTAAAAATTTTGCTGCCCGATGTAGTCGCATGAGCTCTGACACCGGTCCTGGCCTTATCTGAATAACAAATCAGTTATTCGTAATTCAAACAGGACTAAATGTAATCTTCTGGCTGATAAGTATCATTTGCAAAATCTGTTTTTTGCCTGTGGAAAGAAATTTCTCTTAAATTTCTGCTCATTTGCGGTAATTAAGTCAACTGGATGCAATCACACCGCTCACCCAAAGGCAAGGTCAAAGGTTAAATTTATCAATTCAACTGAGAGAATATAGAAAAGGCAAAGTTAAGGGCTAAATTCATCAGTTCTAATGAGAATGCACTAAGGAAGTAAAGTACTGCGGTTTTAAATAATTTCTGAGTAAGCTATTCGTACAAATTGAAATAATTCTTGCATTTAAACTTGTATTCAAAATTATGATTTAGCTTTAAGTTGATGTAGATAATTACTGAGAGATTTTTGTAGCAAAGTTTACGTGAGATAAGATCACTTGGGGTCACGTTATAAGAACCGGCAAATCAGGATGTTGAACCATGAAAGCATAGTAAATTCTTAAATTAATGTCTTTTTTACAAATTTACTGTCTTTATTTATTGGCTTTTTACACAATTTTAAACAATATTAAAATGTTTATGCCTTTGAAATAAAAAATTCTTAGAACTAACATTTGTTAAAATTTTTTATATGTGTACTGTATGTTGTTGCCAATAAAGTCTGCTGGGCGAGATTTGCACCGGCGAAACGGAAAAATACCAATGATTGCAATGCGGTGATGAAAGCAAAAAATAATAACTAATGATTCACCAGGTTACTGTCTAGGATTGATTGATTGAGAGAAGCATAAATTATTCAGCAAGTGTAAATTCAGCGATATTTCATTGTAGAATGTTTCATTTCGAATTGTATAGCAAACAAAAAAGTGGCTATGGTCCGATTATTGATCATGCAGATTTATGCTAATAAATGATTGTTTCTTCTTATATGGACGTATTTTATTTAGCACTCAAGTTAAATGTAGAATCATGGTTGTCAAAATTTTATTGTAAAAAAATATCAAATGCATATACTTAAAGCTTGCAAAAAAAATTAAGGGGGAAAAAAAAGAGTAGTCTGAAGGTCCAGATTTTTTATAATTTTGAATATTGGACTTCCAGTTTTCAGTCTTTGTCCTGCATTCAGAATTTTTTTTTTTTTTTAATGAAGTGAACATTTTCGAAAGTTATTGATATTATGAGCTGTTATAATGCACTATGAATATAAAAGATGCTTTTTTCGGCCTTAGATAAATGTTTGAGAAATCTTTCTAAAGGAAACTGTCTTGTATCCATGTTATCCATGGAACACAAAATCATCCATACAACTAATCCATTTGTCCAGATTTGAACCCAGGTCAAATTACCTGTACTTGGTGACTTTACCCTTCAACCACTTCTATGTTTGGCAAGAAACAGGAAGTGGTGCATTTCAGCCTGGGCAAAGAACACATGGTTACTTACTGCTATGCATAGTTCAATTTTATGCTTTAAGGCCATTCGCCGTAATTAAGTCAACTGGTTGCAATCACACCGCTCACCCAAAGGCAAGGTCAAAGGTTAAATTTATCAATTCAACTGAGAGAATATAGAAAAAGCAAAGTTAAGGGCTAGTTCATGCATTGTATACAATTCACAGTTTATCCAATGTATATGTAACGAAGCAATTTAAGATAAACAACATATGGAAACATACATTAATTTATTTTAAATAGGCACTTTAGGGTTTCAACAGTTCATCAGTTAATAATGTTTCAAATATGTTGTCATGGCTAATGTGATGTCTGAATGTAAACTCTGCATCATAGCTTTAAGTAAATGTCTCTCAGTTTCAGCAAATTTTGGACGGGTGCAACAATTCCAATATGTAATTAAATTGCCATCCTCGATCATTAGCTTGCATCAGAAGCAAAGTTATAGAGATATTAAGTTTTTCAGAGCTGGGAAACATAAGGAATCACTTATGCGTTTGGCAACATCAAATCACAGATGTAATTGCTAACTAAATATGTTACCATTTATACCAGGAGAACTGCTCAACCAGCATAGTGGTTAGTGACTGACTGCCGTACCAGAGGGCCTGGGTATTTGTAAATGGATAGTGTCTGTGCAGCACAGGGGCGCTTTAAAATATACTACGAGCTGAAAGGTCCTCTCAAGAAATTGGTGAAAGGGAAGAGGGGTGGGAGATTGTACGATTGTCTAAGGATTGTACGAACCCTGTAAGAAGTTACAGGGTTCGTACAATCCTTAGATTTTTTGGAATCGATTTTTGGTCCTTAATTTTGGCCAAAATCAGCAGAAGGTCCTTAATTTTAATCATCTGAAATTTCTGTCTGTTTTTACGACTGTCATTTTGAGTGTGAATTAGCATTTTGAGGAATATTTTTGGCGATTCACTGCCGTATATATGATTATCTTTTGAATGAGTTCACGAGTTATAATTTGTTTCTATTTCTTAATATAAATGATAGGATAATCGAATTTCTAAGCAAGAAGTGAAACATAAGCCTTTCGAAATACATTTTTTCTAGTAAAGAGCTCTTAAATAACTTTTTCGCCTTTTGGGATGTCAATTCTTTTATTTAAATGGTTGTAAATTTGGCGACTTTTCAAACATTTCGGCGATTTTAAGATTATTTTTCTATAGAAACTTTTTAATTCCAAGGTCTGGAGAATTTTTTGACGATTTTTTTAAAAACATTCGTAACATTGATAAATTTCATTAAAATAATGGTAATATATTGAAATTATATTTAAAAAATAACATTGAAATAAGACAATTTTTTATTTTTCGCTGTAATATTATAGTGTTTCATTTTGGCAACTTGTTATACAATATTTTAAATCTGAAAAATAAACAAGGTATAATGCTATAAAGCACAATTTACGAAACAGCTCTTAGTAAAAGCAAAATTAGCTATGTAATTAATTAAAAAATGTCTTGTTTTTAATTTTTTCATAGTAAGAGTTTTTCCCAATTAATTGTTTCAGAATATTCAAAATTCTCAGAATGTGCATCAGTTTTCTCTATAAAATTAATTTTATACCTTTTTCCCTCCTATTTTTTCTCAAAATATTTCTGGCTTTTTGCTGTTACAGAATTGGTAGGGATAATTTTTTTTTCGGATTTTAGACATTGCAGCTTGGAAAGTTTAGAAGGATTTGAAGGCGAGATTTATAGACCTACGATTCTAGAAGATTCGAGAAATATATGACAAAATGAAAAATGTCTCCATGATATCAACACATAATGGATGTATTTTACAGAAGGTTTGCAATGAATTTCTTAATTTTTGGAGAACATCTGGAAGAACAATGAAAACTTAATATTTAAATGTTTTACTTCTGATACTAGAATCTTAAAAACATTTATCTTCCTTTATTTTCTCTACTTTTCACTAGACAGAAGCATGGAAAATATCAAAAATGCTTCTGATTTATCACATGGGCAGGCATTATAGAAAGGATTTTTTTTTTTTTTTTTATAATAAAGAAATTGAAAACTTACAATTTAAAAGATTCATCTAATATCTTAATGCATCACATACTAGCACTAGGCTGAAACTCAGCATTTTCCCATTCTGTCCAATGCCTGCTATAAATCCTAAACGTTTTGCCATTTCTAGATTTTGTTGTTCGATGTGTCACTAAATTCTAGAAATTCTGCCACATCAGCTCTAACCGACTTTTACTATATATATTTCATATTGCTTCTGAATGTTCATATTACTAAAGACATAAAATTAGCTGCTTTTTCTGTACATTCTAAATGCAATTAGTGTTTTTTAGAATAACAGAAATCCTTAGTTAAATACAAAAATTTTAAAAGGAAAAGGAAGCATGTTGAAGAAAGAAACTGAATACATGAAGGAAATTATTCTTCAAAGATATGTGCAGTTATTATTATGTAAATTACCTAATTGTTTATGATTTCAACCTTTACTATAATTACCCATTTCTGTTTCCTCACATGATAGAGTTATTGAGCCAAATTAAATTAAAATTAAATTGTATAATCTTTGACCACTAGTCAACATTATTAGTTTGAACTTGACTTTTCTAATTTAATTACGTCACCATGAGATGTGATTTTGTTAGCATCAGAACGTGCCTTTATGTTGTAAGTTCTTTTTAAATAAGAGGCTTATTTAAACCTTTTTTTAATATTATTGTAGTTAATTTCAGACACAGTGATAATATGCTTCACACCTGTCGGGAGTTTTGGACTATTTAACTTTTACCAGATCAATTAAACCCGCATAGGTACATTGTGGAGAGGTTGACAAGTTAGGAGATAAAGACGCAGAAACTAGCGACAGCATTGATTTGCATATTGAGACAAATCTCTAATTGTTAGAAAAGATGCTTTAAAGAGAAGGAAATCGATATAAACTAGCCAAAATGTTTGGGAAGGCTTCAAATTAAAATGACGGATAAATATTTTGTTGACTGTTGTTGTTACAAAACATAAATGTTCTGTAGCTTTTAATATGTAATTATCTTAATATTGTTTAAGAATCTGTGTATACATATACTTTAAATTGTGAAATTTTATTAGATTTTGATTTAAATAGGGCTTTTTTAACAAATATTGTTAAAAAATAAAATTTAATAGTGATCATGTAAATCCATAATGGTTATCAAACTACCTAATTTAATTATTTATATCTAACTGCTCAGCCTTAAAAGTTATCCTTACATATTAAAGCGAGTTATTGCCTTTCATTAATACTCACTGTGGTCACAAGATAAATTATAAAAATGTAAAAATTCAAGTAAAACATATTCTATGCATCTACTTAGACTTAAAATAATGAACAAGACAACTTATCACATCTGGTGCTTGTAATGGCTTAATTGGAACAATTAAAGTTTATTAACTGGGTTACAACCCCTGGAACTGTACACGAAGCTAACGACACTAACTGCATTGGACAGAGCCCTGAGCTAACTTTAAGACACTTGCCAACCGTGCCTACATCAGGCCTTTCAGGTTTAGTTCTAATTCAGTAAGTTTCTCTCTAGGACAAGCACAGCGGTGACAACAGCCAAGTCTTTTGGTTATGAATCATCCTGATTATGATCTTTGCTTCTCATTTTAAGCCTATGCAGTTCTTGACATAAAAATCTACCTACTATTTACTAAACCTCTAGACTGACCAAGTATGTGACAAAATGAGACATTGAAATAAAAAAAAATCGACAATAAAGCTAACGTGTTAGTAAAATGTAACGTAAAATGTCACTTATCTTTTTTTCAAATATGACCAACAATTATAAGTGTAAAATATGTAATGCTACTTTGATAAATTTACATAAAGTTTATTTTATTCTCAAACTTATTAATAATTAATGTTAATTAAGATCATGTTAGCAATAATGCGTACTACTTAGGGATCTATTTTATTTTTAGGATGATGTTGCAAAAGGGAAATTCAGGCATAGATAATATCTTCAATAGAATTTATTCAGTTCCCATTTGCTCATAGGTCCTTAATTTTTTTCATTAACAGTCCTTAAAAGTACTTAATTTCTGTGTGCAGAAATATGTACGAACCCTGTCTTAGGGTGCTTTCTCTCAAAATTGGGGACAGAACGGAGCTAAAATTGGACTGTCACCTATGTGATGCTCAGGACTCTTGTCAAAGACATTTGACTCCACAATGCTGGTGCTGACCATTGTCAGACACTTGTAGCAACAATATCATACATGGAAAATTCAATATCTTGTTTTTCTCCATTTAAAGTGCAACTAGGGAAAAACACAAGGCCAAATAGCCAAATCCGAGTAATGAAAAATTATCATCCATCTCACTTTAGTTTGGGCTGTCTTGTAAGGAGACTTAGGTGTATTGAAGCTAAAAGAACATGATAAATCAACTATACCCATGTCGGGATATGAACTTTAGATTTACTTATTTTTAGCTGGATATGCCACTATTTAAAGCATGAGAACTCATACAGGAAATGCAGCAAATCCTAATAAGGCAAAAATTCCTTATTACTTGCATTGGGTAAAAAGGGTTCCATTCAATTTATACCTCCTTTTCTGATATAAGTTACATTGGGTGTTATATTTTGCATTCGCACATTAAATGTAGCACATAGGAGGAATCTCTTCTAATGGGCTCTACAAAACTGTGTTTTGGGGAAATTTTGTACTTTTCATGAAATTATCTTAAATCTGTTGATCTTTTGTATACCTAAAGCAACAAAACTCTCATGTAAATTTCTATGATGATATTTTCGAGTTTTTTTTCAATCGTTCCTGGAATTGGGGTGGGGGTTACAATTTCTGATTTTATTTTCCTTCTCTACCTTTTTAAACATTATCCTTTGGCAGAAGTCATTTTGTATTATAAATTTATATATTTTCACATATTATTTATTTTTTTATATTTATTTTTTTTTTAATCTGAGTAATGTACTATTTTATTCAGTGCTTTTTTTTCTCAGAATTATTCGTTTAACGTGTACAAAATATATGTGATATAAATTACATTAGATATTAAAATTGTAAAACTTGTACATGAAGTGTATATACAAAATATATATAATTTTCAACAGGGAATTTTTTCATCCTTATTTTTATTTATTTTTTTTAAAGGACAAAATGCGTGAAAATAGGAGTACAAAAGCTTACAGACATAAGAAGGTAATTGGAATTTTTAAGTTAATATGCTCCCATTATGCATGCATTGTATTTATTTATTATTTGTCTGCTTGCCTACAGCATTCTATATATAAATTTATTCTTTCATTATTACGAAAAGGCAAGGTGATTTTATTATGTAAGAAATTGTAAAAGAAGAGGTAATGACAAGGACAAAACCTGTTGATATCTAGTGATTGTGTTTATCATAGTCTTTTTACTTTTTCAAATTTAATCCTAAATAGGTAATTAATTTATTTTTTGAATCCCCTTCCAAAAATTCCCCAAGAATTTTTTAAAAAATGCTTTTGTTTATATAGTCAAAAGTCGTTAATTCGGACACCCATAATCCGGACCTCAAAGCTTCAAACTTTGTGCGCGTGCGCAAAATACGTTTACGAGTGCGCGTTTAATGTATAACGGACGGTGTAAGCTAAGCTAAAATTATTTAATTATCTATTTCAGTTAATGTTGCAGATTGCGTTGTTCCTTAATCTTCGAGTTGGGTCCGGCTTATTATTTTTTGCAGACTGTTAAAGCAATTTATTAAAAGTAAGCTTGAACTTTCGATTATGTCAAATAGAATTTCTGATATATATTTATTAATATGTAAATGATCTACAAAGCGAAAGTATGTTTCGAAGTTCATTAAACAAAAAGTGGAATTGCTACAAAAAATGGATAAAGGCATATCCTCTGTTTATTAAACTTTAACGTTTGTTTATCTTTAACGCCGCGGCGCCGCGCAATGACTTGGAAGTTGATCTGTCAGCACTATCCTTATCTTCAGGGCAGATGTTTTTATTTTATTTGGCTTATAATTCCTTATTAAATGTAGTATTTCATCTCGATGTACTCCATCTTTGATGTGATTTAAATCAAATTCCTCGTCATTATAATTCGCTTCCGATAGCGAAGAAAGTGACAGAGGTTATTGAAAACGAAAAGATTGACAAATTAGTCGGTATTCTCGACACAGCAATTATAGGACTTGAACAGTGGAACTTTGTAACTAAACAAGAAATAATGTCTGTTTAAAGAATTAAAGAGAATGTATTATCACATAAAAAATGAAACAACTTAAACAACAAGTTTTTGGTTTTGAGGTCCGGATTATAGATCATTCCGGATTATGGGTGTCCGAATTAACGACTTTTGACTGTATTCTGAAACTTTCAAAGGGGCTTCATTTATTTTTTTTTTTAGTCTGAAAATTGTATTTATATACAATTATTGTATTTATTTTTATAGGCTTCTAATCCATAAAGGTATGGGAAAACCTGATATAGCCACCATTACTGCTTTTGAATGTAGAAGTATTTTAGATTCTATTCAAAACGAATATGAACAGCGGCAAAAAGAAGACAGCATTTTGAGGTTTGTTATGTTTGTTCTTTTTACATATTTATGATATATGTTTCCAAAACTCGTATACAAAAGCTTACATTTTTTATGCTCAGACTAATATCTGTATATCTAAAGTGTAGAAATTATGTGCTGATTGTAAGATGCCTTAGAGTTATATGCAAATAATTAGAGTTGCAACATTCATGCAAATTTAGTATATGAGCTGAGAATTGGAGTAATGTACAACATTGATAACAGAAACAAAAGAAACATTTTGCGTTGAAACACTATAAAATGGCTGTATCACTTTTCAAATTGTCACCACCAAATATTATTGCCCTATATTATATTTAAAGAAATTAAATAATAAATATCTTCTCGCGTTGGGATAAAACAACAGTGCCTAGAGCCATCAAATTTTGAATAATGTAATCCTCCTGCAAATATGGGCATCTGGAAGCCCAAATTTGAAATTTGTTTTATTATCGATTTCATATTTTGTAAAACTTTAACGAATTTTCGATTAACAGACTCAAGGATTTCAAAGTGAGCAATGGCAACGTTGTACAGAAAAAAACATTTTTATCTCCAGCGCATGAGACCGTGTATCGGAAATTCTAAAGATATGCTCATTTTAAAATTATTTTGCGATATTTCTCGTGAACTGAATTGCATGGTTTAAGTGCGAAGAATACAATATTTAATCAATAAAGGTAACATACAGAATGTCTCTTTGGGTGTAATTTAAAATCTGAAAGCTTTCAGTTCCCCCTCCCCCCAGATTTTGTGTGCAAAAAGTAAACTGCAACAAAAAACTGCAAACTTCCTTTGTATTGTATAACTGACAAAAAAAATTTCTTTGAAAAAATTTAATTTTTTTTAATAAATATTCTTTTGTTTTCATATTTAGCAAATTACAAGAGGATCTAGCTGATCTTATAGCACAGCGAAACATCTTAGCAAAACGAAAAGAATTTAATGAGAAGTACTGTGTTCTGTGTTGCTCAGCATTCAATTTGCTGTTCAAAAGGAAAGTATTTTGCCAAGACTGTAATTTTTGGATTTGTCGGTCATGTTCACTCTGGGATAATTCTTCTAAGCACTGGTTGTGCAAAGTTTGCGAAAAACAAAAGTAATTTTATATTGATACATTTTCTGCATTCATTGAACTTTTATATAATGTTTATTATTTATTAATATATTTTATAAATAATTCAGACTTCTAGATGCTGAATCTCGTGCATGGATATGTAATCGTGTAAAGGCTAGTTTTGGTAACTTTGGAGCTGCCAAAGCTTTGCACAGTTTTTGCCGCTCAAGAAGGATTTGTAAGTATTTTACACGACCATAGTATGCTACAATTATTTCCATTAATTTTGTTAAAAAATGATATCTGTCTTTTTATTTGGATTTTTTTATTGTAATTGATGAAAAAAAATTTTTTATGATATCTTTCTTTTCAATGAACATTTTTCTCAGTTTAAATTTTTAAACAGGAAATAACTGTATTATTAATTGTTTAATTGATAGCTGATAGTGAAAATGATTCTGGATATGGAACAGCTGGTGATTTTATACCATTAATGAAATTACTAAGCTCTCATTCATTGAACAAAGAACTAAAAATGTCTGGTAAGTTTTATTTTGCTTCTGATGTGTATTTCTTTTTAAGTCTCAGTAAGTCTGTCATGTTATTTACTAAAATTAAATTGTATATAACACATAAGTTTTAAAGTTATGATGTATAACATAAAATTTTAAAATATAATTTCTTTTTAGGTACTTGAACTGTTTTATTTACTCGGTTTGTCATTCTTAAATATTTCTATGGATTTTCAGTAGTAACCCATTTCTGTTAGATTTTGAAAGAATAATAAAATTAAAAAAATTGGTATTTTTTCATTACAGCTGTACTGCTTTGTGCTTTACTTATTTTATTTTTTGTTTGTTTTTTCACATTTCCTCTGTTCCAGAGTTGCCAGTTTGGTTTAGCTCTATCTTGGTGAAAAATTGCTGATACAACTATGTACCTTTTCATCTGATTAGTTTTTATTTCTTATTTTTATTGGAATGAATTTTATGATTTGGTGTTAGTCAAGAGATCCACAGGTGGCTGTTTTATTTCTTCAAAAAGATATTCTTCAGACAAAAACATTATGTTTGTACAACCAACCTCATGAAATTAAATTGGGACTCAAAGCTGAAATGGTTTTGCAGCCTTCATTCTTGATAAGATCCAATTTAGTTTTACAAATTTAAGCTTACTTCCATTGAATCCATACAATAGTTGATTAGAGTAATTGCATGAGAGAGGTATGTACAAATTTTTTATCTCATCCTACTGTTGAAAATGGATGTTATGAAGTTGCACAAACAGATGAAATTTTTTTCATAAAAAGGAAAATAATAATTTTTGCTGCATTCTTTCCTCATTGTTGCTCCCAGTCATTCTATTTCATCTAATAATGAGCCAAATGTCAAACCAATGTGGCACTGAAAATGCATGAATGTAAAAGAAGCATGATTTAATTTTTGGGGGAGTCTTTTCATTTAAAAATTTTGCACTCCTTGTTCTGAAACTCATTTATTGGAAGTTATAAGCCATAATTAGCAATAAATTTTATTTTATCAGCTATTTATGGTATACATTATTTCCACTATGATTATTAGTTTCTAAAATTTTGTCATTTGAGTTTTAATTATTAGATGCCAGTATTAAAACGTTTTTGCTTACTGGTTTGCTATATTCATTTTTTGTATTGCAACAGTAATTTTTGTTATAAAGTAATTTGGTATTGTACTTTGCATAATGTTTAGCTATGATATTATTTTAATTAACGTAGTCTGTGTATTAGATGTTATTTTGAATTTATTAAGAACTAATGTCAGTGGCTATGTAGATTGTAACTTCAACAAACTCCCGATGTGGCTCTTGTAGGGAATGCTGCTCTAGACAGTTACGGGATCCAAATAACACCTGATCAATCTATATAAGCTGCCTAGTTGTCTGGACCTGCCCTGTCCTGTTTACCTGTATTCATTTGTTTTATTGTATTTCTTTGGAGACATGTTTTTTGATTAAATTTGATGGGCATTTTTTCCTTCCTAGTTGAATTTAAACTACATGTTTGACTAAGCAGTTTTGCTTAGCTTTTTTGGTTCGAAATGCACCATATGTGTCTTTTTTAGCCTTATAGGAATTGGAATAAATAAACAATTAGCTGTTTCATTTTTCAGAATTATTTATGAATTTGTTTAAATTTTTAGGTGTATTAAAACAGTGTAGAAATATGGCTTTTCTATTACTTTATTTTCTGGCAAAAAACTTTTGAAGAGTTCCTATAAGATGTGTAGTGCAGTATTTTTAGTTTTTATTTTATTTATTTTTGTTTACGCTTTTTTATACTTTAATATATCATGCTTCTTTTTTTTTTTTAATTCTGATATCTAGGGGGGGAGATGTATATATATAAACAGGTAGAAGTGGCCAAGCCCCACCCTATTTTTGTAAGAACAACTCTGAGGGTCCCCTGCCACCAACCATTTGGAAGACCTTTTGGCTTGCTATGTGTTTTAAGTGGCCCCTTGCTGTACAGACACTGTATGCTCACAAACATCCATTCTTTCCCATGGGATTCAAACGTGGGGCCGTTGGTACAGCAGTCAGCATGACTAACCACTGTACTGTGTAATTTAAATGTTATTCACATGGAGTTTCATAAAGTAACTGGGCAGTAGTGGGGAATTTTCATTTCTTTATTCTTGAGAAGCATATTCATAGCTTGAGTAACACAGTGCAGTGGGTGTAATTTGTGTACCTGTTTTTGATCTTATTTGTGCCTGCATCATTATAACAACGGATTTCATTGAAGTAAAGAAAGTGCAGTAGTAGAGAAGAAAAGCTTGGCAGGCTTGAAAGAATGCAGTGTGTTCAAGATGAAAGCTTAATTTAGAATAATTTACTTTTGTTAAATCATTCTGTTAAGCTATATCCCACTTTCTTAACATTAGGTTTCAGTTCCCAAATTTGAAATCACTATTGGCTGAAGTGTTATGCAATTGCATGCGCCATTAGCATTATGTCAGAATCACATAACAACAATTAATTCTGAATTTTTTAAAGCAATTTATTATGAGCAATTATTGTTTTCAGGACAGAAAGGGAAAATAACAAAATTACAAGAGAGTAAAGGGATTATTGCAAATTAAAGTTAGATTTAATTTATATATTTTTATCTTCTATTTTTTTTTTATCTTGTACATACACGCACATGTATAATATGTATGTGCGTCTGTAGGCTTTTAAAAGCTCTATGTACTGTTTTTCACTTGGGGGAGGGTAATGTTTTGATGATGAAAAAACTAATGCTTTGATATTTTTTAGAAATATCTCATGATGAAGATTGTGAAGATGATGATGATGATGTTGGTGATGAAGAAGAATTAGCTGAAATTCATCATAGCATTGAAACTATTCTGGAAGGCCTTCTTGGAGGAACGTTAGATGATGCTTCTGTTGATTATCTGTACCCAAACTCATGTTTATGTATGTTTGCTTTATTAATTAATGCTGTCTATACATGTCTTTTACTTTTTATTATTACTCTTTTTTTTTTTTTTTTTTTTTTTTTTTTTTTTTTTTTTTTTTTTACTTTCATAGCAACTGTAAGTATAATTAGCCTTTTACATTTTCTGAATGCTAATTCTGTTTAGTAATTTTAATGGAGTCAAATCTAATTGTGAGGTCATTCCTAGGATCTTGTGAAAAGAAACCCTGTAAGCAAGATGACCTAATTTACGAAGAAACTTTTTGAACAGTATAATTATAAAGATATCTAAAACTATGAAAAGAGCAAATATTTTAAAATAAATACAGTACAAACTCCGAAATCCAGACATCCATTATCCGGAATGATCTATAATCCGGACAGAAGGAAAACTTCTGCGCAACAGGAGTGGCTCCATTCAAACGTAGAAGGAAACAGCTGTGCATGCGCGAAATATCTCTCGCCAAAGCTCGAAGCAGGTATCGAAGTTTGAAAGTCGCATTCAAGAGTTCATTAAAGGAATATCGTTTTAAATTTCTTTAAACTTTAAAGGAAAAGAAAATATTTTTTGTGCAAGTAAATTAATTAATGGATTAGTTATTTTGAGCACAAAAATGTACGAAGATCCGAGTTTAAATTACTGTGAAAAGTCAAAGAAGAAACGTTTTGTCATGGAACGTTTCTTTTCAACGCGTGTTCCTCAATTTCCTGTACACATCGCGTAGGGGTTAAATCTCACGGGCAGGTTCCGCCGCTAAATTTGTGCCACGATTTTGCTATATCACACGTCTTTCTGTGATTCAAAATTTCGAAAGTAACGATAAAAACTTCCTCCAAAGTTAACTTACTATATGAAAACCACAATCTAAATCTTAAACTCCGCTGACAGCCACATTTTTTACTAGCAACCATTTGACTGCAAACCCACACAAGTCTATAAGAAACACCATTCTTCGTCCGAGTTCTCATATCAGTTCTGCATTTCGGACACGCCAAACTCCGTTTTAAAAGTCCTGACTCCCACAGAAATTCCAAATATGCACTTCTATCTGCATAAACACACCCGTGAACAAAAAACTCGTTAATGCAAATTTTTACTCCGCTGTCCAGCGGTGTAATAGCAAACTGTTTCACATTATGTCTATGGAACCTTTCCTTCTTTACATAGACATTCTTTGTCAAAACCAGCGAGAACGTTTTTCTCCTAGGTTTGCATACGCATTTGATCCCCCCTTCCGAGCATAACAGAACATCTGGAGAGTACCAATCCTTAATTTCACTTTGAAACTAAATAAAATACCTTGTTATTGGAGAAACGAACATTTTAGCATAAATTTGTACAATCATATCAAACCGAAACACTCCACATGGATACATCGTTGATCTGATGCCAACCTGGCGAATCATTATTTATTATACTTGCCTTTCATCATCGCATGTTTATCAACATGACAACTTGAGTAATGACTCGTGTAGCGATGCCTAAACAATTTTTTTATATTTTTTTTAGTAAAATTTTTTTTAGTAATTGAATAATAAAGGAGTATGGTAACTTTTATGTTGACATTCTGCTTGGCGATGGTTACAGATTTGTTAAATAAATGCGCTAAAAAATGCTGACGAAGAAAAATTTGCCAAAAATTTTTTTCCATATGCTAAAAATAGATTTTTTTTATGATACTCATTGACCCAAAGATTACATTTAGGGGTATTTGAATTAAGAATAACTGATTTGTTATTCACGTAAACCCAGAACTAGCGGCAGGGCTCTATGGCCGCACAGAGTCGCAGAATTTACGACCCAGAGGTAAGATAATAAGGCTTAAGTATATGTGGGAAGTTATTTATTCAGAACTCTAATAAGCCTTAAGCATGTACAATAAATAGACATAAGTATAATAAATAACTAATACAATTCAGGCTTAATTGTCTCAGTGCACGATAGAAGCAAAATAAAATTTAGTGGAACATCTTGTCGTTAGTCGCCAAACTCATGATGCATAGCCGAATTAGTGAAGGATAGCTAAATTTGTTGATAGCCGCTAATTTTAAAGGTTTTCGGATGTAGCAAAGATCATAAATCACGATTTCATATCTTTAATTTTATAATTTTTACCTGCCATCTTACTAAATTTAAACTGATGATCTAATATCCAGAAAAATCCCAAATCCGGGATCGCCGAAATCCCGATGAGTCCAGATTTCGGACTTTGTACTGTATTGATATTCAATATATGAATCATTCATCATGTTATAAATTATTTATATATTTCTATTATATTCAGCATGACACAAAAATTTTAGTTAAACAAAAAAAATTTAAGTTCACTGTTTGAAGAAATCAGTAATATGTGTGTTTGGTTTTATGTCTGTTTTGAAAATTGAATAGCTGTATACAACTTTTAAGAGTTTTGATATGCCTTTTAGTAGCATCTGATGTCTTCATTAAAAATAAGTGCAGTGGTTAAAATGCGTAATGTGCCACTTTTAGGTACTTCATTAAGATTATCATCTTCACTCTTAATTACTCATTACACACATTACAGGTCTCTATTCTGTAAAAAATCTCTATGAGCATTCAGTACATATAAATTTGTTCATAGAATTATGCCATTAAACTAATCAAAATACCAATATCTAATTATGCACATTATAATATATGCAAAATATCACAATATTGCTTCTGAGCATACTGAGCCAGTTTATAAATGAGAATATTGCCATCTTTTGCAAAATCACCTTCTGATATTTCTTTTAACCCATTCATTTTAACCATTGACGAACAGTTCAATCATTAAACCGCTCACTCAGGATGGCATGCTAACGGGGTGCATGGGCAGTTTGCGCAGCTAAACCTAACTTTTGGAAAAAATTTGCATAAATTTAATTTGTCATCTAACTACAGTTTTTGGTACATTATGAGAGGAGCACTCAAGTAGTTAAAAATAATCAGTTTTAGAGTAATGTAATTTTTAACTTACCTCAGATAATTATATATTTCAAAAACATCCAATCATGGGTTTTATTGAATCCAGTAAATTAATAAAAATTAAAAAATATTATCTTTCATAAAAAACCTACATGCATAATTTTTGACTTGCCTCAAATAAATATGTCCGTATTAGAAAAGCTATAACTATCACTTTCCACTTCTGCAAAAATATTGTCTCTGTCATAGGTGTGAAAAAAAAGACCCATTTATCATGCACATATACTCTTCTATTAAACACCATTTTTGGTTTGCCATTTAGGTGTAAAAATACTTCCCTAAATCATATAAAATACTTGTCTTAACACTAGGGGGAAATAAAAAAGCAATAAATAAAACCTCTAAAAGGATAAAACATCTAACCAGCCATATCTGCCCCAAAAAAAATATTCGGAATCATTGATAACTGGTGCATTTGCATATATCACTTGACACAGTTAAAGAGCCAGTACATGGCTCAGCATGAATCTCACTTTCATTCCAAAACAAAATACCAAAAATAAAAAAAAATTGCATAGGAATGAAGGTAAACATGCTTCACTTTCGTAAATTTCACCGCAACAGATATACAGCTACATCTAGTGGCAAAAAAAAAAAAAAGTACTATTTAAATGTCTAAAAAGTCATATGTAGTACGCTTGGCCACAGAGTAAATTAAAACATGATTCATATATGATACACCTGGGCATGAGATAATGTTTGCTGGTGATGCACGTATGACAGGCCATTGTTGAGCCAGTTAAAAGTATGCTTTGCCACTCTGTCATCATACTTATTGCTAAAATGGCAATGATTTAAAAACAAGAAATTTGCTAGAAAATATTGAAACTCTTAACAGAAGTACATTGGGCTTGTATATTGAAGTAATTCTGTCAGCAATAACAATATTTCAAATCATATTATAATATTATAAACATTAGCATTGTAATAGTGTACATCTGTTTGAGACTTTACGATCAGCATGATAATTTATCCAGGTAAACATTTAAGAAGATTTGACTGTGATTTTATTCATGATTTTCATGACTTTTATTGGTGACATTTTCATTTAAAACTGTTGGTAAATTGTGTGTTTGTCTTCAAATTCTATTTTACTGTTCCCATAGCATTTGGAACTGAAAGTTATCGATAGTAGAAATCAGAATATGCAAAAAAGAAGAATCTTTTTTTTTTTTTTCATTTTGTTATTTGTGTAAACAAAATTTTAATATTTTTATCTTGTTTATTCTATTATTACTTTGCAGATATAAATTTATTTTCTGCATATCATGTCAGACTTGTTGAAGTAATCCAAAACCTATCAAAAGCATTGCAAAAGGCATTACACAGTAAGTAAGAAATTTGATATATTGGCTACATCTATTGTAATTTTTTTTTTTTTTTTTTTTTTTTTTTTTTTTTTAAATTTTGAATTTCGGATATTTAAAAAAACAATGCTCCTTTTCCTTTTTGCTTTATGTTTTAATTTATGTTATTATGTCCTTTAATTTGGTGCTGCATGTTAAATGTTGTGTGCTGTGACATGAAGCTTTCTGCATGCAATTTTTAGTTTATGCATTTTAACATTTTGTGTAGATTTACCTTCTGAAAATGGTATTACACCTACAACTGCTCATGCTGCATTAAAAAATGTTATTGCTGCTCTTGTTGAGGAGTGTCAAGATTTACCTCCATTACAGGTCTCTATTCTTTTCTTATTATAATAATACTAATTTTTTTTTTCTTTATGTAACCATATACAGTGGTATCTTGATATAAACCCACTGTAAAGTGAAAATTTTTGCGTGGTATATATTTGTTTGAATTACGACGAGTTCAGTAAGCTATGACTACCCTACCCTTGTGTAAGTTGTCCATGAATATTAGTACTCCTGTTGTTACTATTCAGTAAACCACCAGCACTGTTGTTACTATTCAGCACTGATGAAGAAAATGGTTAGGATTATTACCCCAAAGACCGTTGCCCAGAAGGGCTATTAATTTCGTTTTGGCATTTTGCATTGAATCACTATAAGCAGCATATCGGATTGTTGCCACCAAACATTATTGCCCTGTATTATATTTAAAGAAATTAAATAATGAAGAATCTGCATAAATATATGTTTCTTTCATTGTGATAAAACATGACAGCAAATTTTGAATAATGTAATCCTCCACCCGAATATGGGCATATGGAAGGCCAAATTTGGAATTTGTAAGTTATTTTGCAATATTGCTGTTAAAGTGAATTTTATGGTTTAAGTGCGAAGAAATTTATTAACAGTGAGTTTTAAAAAAGTTAATAAGAAGAGTCTAGTGATGAAGAAAATGTTTAGGATCACCATGTATCTTCAGGACTTGGCTATTGTATAATATATGTGAAGAATAATAGTGTGTACAATTGTAAAAAAGAAAGACACTATAAACCTTTTGACATTCCAGTTACGCACTACAGTGAGCGCAGATGAACACAGCTTGCATTACAAATTTACGATTGATAAATATTGCACATATTTGAGAAGAGAAAATTGCTTAATCTTGCAACCCCTGAAGAGTTAAATCAGCTAATGTTAAAAATGGGTGAAATTGATTATCAAAGATCAAAGTATATTGAGAAATTGATTTTGATATTGATAGCAGAAAAAGAATTAAACATGGTATTCCATTAATGTACAATAAATATTGCATGAATTGCATTGTTTTGTAATCTTAAACAGAGCTATAATAATAACAATAGGATTTTTGCATAAGAATGGAAAATAAACTATTTCCCCTCTATTTCTGACTGGAAAAGTTTGTTTGATATAAGGCAAAGGATCTGTAATGCAATAATGACATCTATCAAAGTACCACTGTATATTTATATATTTATGATTTGATGTTTTTTGCATGTATGTGTTCTTAACTTTGAGCTTAGGTTTGAAGTTTTTATGATTAATTCAAAATATCTATGTTCTAATTTGTTATTTAAAATGTCCCCCCCCCCTTTTTTTTTTTTTTTTTTTTTTTTTTTTAACTTCTGTATAAAGAAAGTTTTTTTTTTTTTTTTAAATATATAAAATTTGCTTTGCATGTGTTTTTTATTTTTTAATGCAACATTATCAGAAGTAGAAATGTAGATAAATATGTGTTACATAGATATGTATTTAGATATATTAAAAGCTTTCTTAAATTTTATGAATAATAAAATGGAAGGAAAAAATTAGCTCTCTCTATATATATATATAATGACTGTTGTTTTTATTATGTTTTATATATATCATTTTAAAAAAATGTCTGAAATTTCATGGCAGTTTGAGAAAAACATTAATTTCTTCAATAAAAAGGACACTTCTGCGACAGTTTTATTTAGAATTAACCAAATGTTAAGGGCTAAATGGAACTCTTAAATTATTTAGTTGTTTATTTTAATTATATACAGTAATTTATAAGCAGCAAAATTGCTGAGCTTTGAGTAAATTTCTCAAAAATTTTACATTGGGTTTTGAAGATAGCCCAAATGACATGGTACATCAATTTATACATTGCAGTATTAACATATAACCATATTTTACAAATGGCTTAACAATACTGTGATGTTTAACTTATATAAAAATTTGATAGAAAGAGAAAATTGCAGAGTTGTAGAGAGTAAAACTTAGCGATTTAAAATACAAATTTTAAATATTAAATGAGGATTATAGATGCAAAAAGATTTTAAAAAATATTTTTTAAAAAACCATTTTATAATTTTATATTCTGATCTTCCTGTGTGCACAGCACTTTGTTTTTGCTTAAAAATATCAGAGAACTGCACCCGGCATCATATTCAACTTCAGCATTATTAATAGGCTATCTATCAAACATATCTCATTATTCCTCCCTGTAGCGATTTTGTGATAAAAGTACTGTACTCATGCAGAAATTTTACTGTAATTTCTTCCACTGGCACATTCCACAACCAAATACTTTAAACCTGAATCTCAGGTAAAAATGAGGGTGAGGAAGAATGTCAGAATTTGTCAATAAAAAACCTTTGGAACTTGCAACAAAAAGAACTCTTAAGAAAGCGGGAACATTGCTTAACTGAAAGTTTGTTATGAGTGTGGTTGCCTAAAAATTGTTTATGCACATGGTTGCCAGAGTTTGACACATTCTGGTAATTTGGAGATTTCTGCTAAGGAGGTTGTGATAATACGTAAGTACCAGTTCAGTAGTAGGCTTCAACCATAGCTTTCAAAGAAAGTTTTACCGAGTTTCAAACATGAAGGATAATTGGGATCATATTCTATTTTATTGAAGTTGTTGACTGCAAACTAACTTTCAACAAGGAGGTTTGCAAATTATCAATTTTAAGGATATTAAAATTTACAACAAAAGAAGAGATTTTTATTTATCTACTATATAACTCATCCATTGGTACTGCAGTATCTTCAAAAGAGTAATACTCACTACCATACATACTCAACTCTTTAGAATCAAAATTATTTGTAGCAATGTCAAATATTTACAAGAAGAAATCACTAACTTAGTCAAAATTTTCTTCGAGAATAAAACACCTCTATTCAAAATTTCTATATCCTTAAAGAAAGCTGGTATTATCTACTTTTTTTTAATTTCTCATCTAAAGTGAAATGATAATTATTACTTAGATCTTAATAGAAGGTAATAGTTGGATAACTATGTATAAGAAATTTAATGTAAATACATACAAAGATCTTGTTTCTTTCCCTTTTAATTATTATTTCTACTATCTTTCTACAATTTTGTAAATCTAATCTTGCTTTACTAAAAAAATGGGGCTTCTAGTTTCAAAGACATATTGCACCCCTATTAGATGAAGACGTTTATCTTTTATAATCAATATTTTTCCTTTTTAAGATTATTATTATCAGATGGAAGATTATTATTTTTAAGATTATTATTATCATCTGGAATAATCATCATATTCCTTTTTAAGATTTAAGTTCTGTTTTCACATTTTAAGATTTTATAGAGGACAGCATCTTTTAGAAGTTTCTTACGGCAACATTTTGGAGTTGACGATCACTCTCCTCATCAGTAGTAATTTTTACAGACCGCATACAATGTTTGGCACCCCACACAGAATAGGACTCTGCATACTGGTGCACTATGATTAGAGCCCAGCATGGGACTCAATGATAATCCATTCTTCCTGTAGTAAGATGGGTACTTATGTATTATCGCAACCAGGTTGGCGCGATTTGTAAGTTTGAGTAAAAAAGTATGAATAGAAAGAAAATGTACATTTATTAATTACAGATAATTTTTAATACAGTTTTTTATATTATTTTGTTTTAAAATATAAAATAGCAATTAAACCCTTCCAGTTTCGAATTTGAAAAGTTGCAGAATTATTTTTTCGGCGGAAATCTTTTGGCTATTGCTTTTAGCACTGATTAAAAACCGTCTTCGCCATTAACAGCTTGAGCTTGGCACCATATAAATTCGATAAGGTATGAGTCAAGATGATGACGGGCTGTTCCTCTGTGTTTTTTGTTGCGCCATTTGGCTGAGCCCCACATGCGCTCTACATGTTGTGTGTGAACGCCTGTGTTGGGATCCACAAAGTTATATTTGTGATTAACAGTTACATGCAGAAATCCAGCATTTTCAAACTCACTTGTATTGTATTCTTTCCAGCAATCCGAATAGATGATGCTTCCTTCCTTGATATTTTCGCAAATTTTTTCCATGAGGGTAACGGCGCTTCTGTTAGGTACAGTAACCAAAAAAGTCTCTTTCTTTTCTCGGCAAATTCTGCCAAAAACCCAACCCTTGCTGTGGTAGTATACGCCCAGTGTTATTTTTTATTTTTACAAATAAACTTTCGTCTATTTTCACACACGTAGGGTTGCCGTAAGTAGGGGCGCCAAATTTGGCGATTTATGCGAATTTTGGCCTGGTTGCGTTAATACGTAAGTATCGTAAGATGTTTAAATTGTAGAATAATCATAATAAATTTATAGAGTTTTTCTGGAATATGAGAAAGATAGTGGCTGTTTGGCATTCTAATTGAAAATTCTTTTCCTTTTTTAAGATTTAATTTTGTTTCATATTTATTGCCTATATTATCTATTTATATGCAGTTTAGTTACTAATATTGGAATTAGATTGCAGATTTGGTAATCAACAGTCTATAAAGTTTGCTTTATGCAATACTGTTACAATGTTAAATTTCACATTTTAGGTTTCTGAGCAAGGGGAGTGTGAATCCAATATAATTTCAAATGTTGATTTTGCTGAAATATTTTCTTCATATGACAGCTTGGTTGCTGCTGCTGTTATAAATAAGGTAAATACTCAAAATTGAATTTTTTATTAAAAATCAGTTTTTGATAGAAAATTTGAAGTTTGATTAGCAGATTAGGTGAAGTGAAATATATACTATTTAAGTAAATTGTTCTTACAGTAATTAAATCTTTTTAACATTAAGATTGTGTGTTTTTCAGGCCATCAGTTTCATATTTGATAATGCATGTAAAATTCATATAAATAAAAATCTTCCATTTACCTGAGACTAAAATTTTAAATCAATAATTAGTTTCATTTGGAATGATATCAAATAAAAATAAATTTTCACATTGAAAAATCTACGCTGCTGTTTCTAATGGCTTGAATTTTTTTTTTCTATGAATTCATAGCAATATTTCTCACTTCAATGTAAATTTCAGTCAATAGTTTGTCAGTAGAATGAATTATTGCTGCTATTGTTAGTTTTATCATCATCTGATAATTACAAGATGAATGACACTGCGGATAAATTGATAATAAAAATTTATTTGAGTTCAGTCTAAATCTGTAAAAGTTTTCTGTTGTATATAAAAGTATGTTCTGTTGCCACACACACACATTAAAGGGGATGAAGATAATAATGTAGGGAAATTGAAATGTTTACTTCCTGGTTATAAAATTTAGTTTATAGGCAGAAATGCCTTTTATATATATATATATACATATACACAGTGCAAAGTCTGAAATCCAGACGTCTGGACACCAGCCAAAAATATGAATAAATTAAAATAAAATAATATAAAAATATTTTCTCCTTCTCCCTTACAAAAATCTAGGAATGGAGAATATAATACTCAACAAAAGAAAGTAAGTGTGCTGTAAGTGGAATTTTTCTCTCGACTAACTGACATTCTAGCATATCGCATTCAAACACCTGCTGGCTGGGGAAGTGACATTGTGGCTAGGATCACATTTTCGGCCATTGAGTGGTTGTGGGATATTAGTATTTTTCTATCTTAAAGTAAGCTCCAGTGTTGCCATTTCTACCTGTCGTCTTACTAGATGTAATCTGATGATCAGAAATATTCGGAATCGCCTAAGTCCAAATCTTGGGCTTTGCACTATATGACAGTGTCACAATTTTTTTTATTTTAAAACGAATTATCCTCATATCATTTCTTTGCAAATACTGCTGAAAATTAATCAATTACAGACAGATGGAAAGAAATTTAGAACCAAATTCACAAAGACATGACAGATACGAAATTAATAACAATAAAATCCAAATAAATGAATTTATTGAGATAGCTATTTATTTAATGTTAAGATTTGCCTCTGTGGTCTTACTTTTCCTGCAAGTTTCGCTTCTTTAGATTTTCATGTTACATTATACAGAAAAATATAACAATTTCATGTGTAATTGCCCTAAAATCATCTATCTGTGTACAAAATTCTTAACAATATTTTGTCAGTTGCCTTGTCACCCAAAATGTTAATCAAATTTTTGAACTCATGTTTTGCATCTTTGATAATAAGTGCTGTGTTTAAGGTTTAAAAAAACAAATTGAAGTTTTCTGATTTTTCTCAAACCTGCATTAATTACAGATTTTCAAAATAATTTATTGAACTTGCATTAATATTTTTATTTGAGCAAGATTCAGCTTTAAATGCATTCTGACTTCTAACTTTTTTTTTTAAATTCCTTTTCTAGTTGCGCTAATTTTAATTTCTGAAATTAAACTTTTTTTTAGTTGTTATGGCTAATTCCCTAGCTTTTTTCTTGTTCTCTTAATTTTCTCTTATTAACTATTGAGTTTAATAGTAATAATGGTTATGAGTTCTGGTATTCTTTAAAAGTTTTATTGTTCTCAATTTTACATTTTAATGAAACCGCTGTTAAAACCAGCTGTTGATGTATCTTCAATTTCACCGAAAAGTACTACCAGATCTTCCTTTTTGGAATTTTTAAACATTTTGTTTTTCTTTTCATGTATATATACTCTTAAGTAAAATAAAATCAAAAAAGCTCCTGCCTGCTTTTCCATGAAGTCCCTATGCCTCTCTAGTCAGCTCTAGTTAGTTTTGGTTGTAGAAATAAGAGCATGTTGTAGCATTACCACTACTGGCAAATCATATTCTGATTTGAACAAATCAAAAGTCTTCTTTTCTCTAGACATTAAAAACTTTATTTCATGACATTAAATCTAGCACAGATGGCTTACATGGAGTAACAAATATTATATGAAATAAAAATTTTGTGTCAAAATAATCTATTAACTGTCTCACTAGCAATGTTTCGACGATGTTAGAAGTTGCTCTCGTAGCATCACGTACCATATGGTAGATGGCACTGTCTCATCTGTCTCTACAATGAAGTTGAACAGGCCTACCCTAAATTTTGAATTAAAATTCTAATATTTCCCCACTTTTTTTCAGAATTTTTTATAGTTTGTTAATGTATGTATAATATCTTGGTTATAAATTATATTAAAGTATGATGACTTGATGTTTTTGTATTAATTTTTAGTATGTGTTTTTTTAATATCAAATAACCTTTTATTATTATTATTATTATTTGTATTTTTAACAAAACAACATTTACAGATTGTTGAAGAAAGTCAATCTAAATTTAAGGCAAGTGTATATAATTCATTAGAAGAAAATCCTAAGATAGAAGGTATGCCTTATTCTTCTTAATGAGAATTCAGTTCTTTTATTTGTATGGTATATTTATTTAATTATACTAGATGTTTTATGCATACAGAAGCATATAGTATAAGTTTACTACTAAAAGTTTTTTATTGTTTTCTTTTTTTTTTTTTTTTTTATTGATATCAAAATTGTGAAAAACTAATTGTTATGGCTGATTCAGATCTTGATCATTTCCTTTCTGTTTCGTTGTTTGCAAGTTTTAGCCCCCCTTTTTATTGGTTTATTTTCATAATATACTATTTGATCCTGATTATTTTGCTTTTATAAACTTTATATTCTGTACCCCCATCTTTTAATTTATTTATTTCCTACTCATTTCATAAACAATTGTGAACTTTATTTCATTCCTTTTATTTTGCATTATATTTTTTTGATTAAATCTCTCTCTTTTTCTCATTCTTCATCCTCTCTTCTACTCTTATATTTCAACTTATTGTTGAAAAAAAAAAAAAAATAGATATGAAGATTACGTATGTTTTTCATTTGCATTTTTTTTTTTTTTTTTTTAAATGTTAGTATGTTTATTTGTAAAGCTATTTTAGTTCCAGTATTTAAATTAGTTATTTTACTAATTTGTTTACAGTAATTTTTGTATGATTTAATTAATATTGTTAAATTATTTACTATGAAATATTTTATTAATTTTATAGGTTTTATTTCACGTTTATATATTTTGTTATTTGGTTTGTGTTAAAATAAATTGCCGGTTATTTGTTTTAATTTATTAATGATGCTTGTAGAAAATGAAAAAGTGTATCGTCAGTCAACAGAGCATATCAGTGAAGAGGCTTTTGAGAATATTGTTTCAAGTGCAACTGGTTTTAATTTACCTGTTGAATGTGTGGTAAGAAAAATTCATACTTCTGTAATGTAAATGTTAGGTTATGTACAGTTGGTTCAGTGTTAAAAATGTTATTATTATTTTTTTATAATTATTTATTTGTTTGTTTATTTATTTTTTTGAACATAGCAAATTGAAGAAATCGAAGAAATAACACAAGAATTTACAGATTCTGAAGATGATAAGCTTAGCAGCATTAGTAAGTGGTCAAACAGTTTGCAAAGTGTAGAAGAAGTTGGCATTCAAAAACATCCTGACATTGATCCTTTCCTTGGTATGGATCCTTCAAATAATGTCCCTACTCCATTTCCTGAATTTGGTTGTGATTTGGTAGATGATCCAGAAAATAAAGATTGTGGAATTACATGCCATTCTACAGCTGTAACATCATGGGAAGATAATTGGTTGTTCCGAAAGAAAAAACGCCTACCTCTGTACAGCAATTTAAAATATCAGCTTTTAACATATTGTGATGAACCTCCCTGTATGCTAATACCTTGTCCAACTGAAACAACAGATAATGTGTAAGTTTATTTTCATGGGATATTCATTGTGTCCTGGTAGTTAAATATTCTGAATCAAAATGTTATCCTTCTTTAAAATATTAAAAAAATATAAGAACTGGTGTGATTTAAAATTGTGAAAATTTATTTAAAGTGCTTATATGAAATTATTATGTGTTGTAATGTTTTGGCTGTAATACATAGCTTGCAGTCAAGTTTGTTGCAAAAAATTTATTGCCATTAACCCTCTCATTGCATGTCCCACGATTTCCGTGGGCAACATAGAAGTAGCACAACCCGCGATTTCCGCGGGGATGCATTTTTTCCGGTTGCACAGTTTTAATTTTAACTGTGCAACCCATTCTTTTTCCATTCATCGTTTCATTTTGGTTTCCCTGCGATGTTTAATTGTTTATTCAGATCTGGGTAAACAGATGGTGTTAGTTGTTCATATTTCTGCGAAATATACTAGCACGTTTTGCGCCATTTTGGGAACTCTTTTCAAAGCTCGGAAATGTCTGTAGCTCAACTCTCAATCCAATGAGACTAACTGCTCATCATTTTACTAGCCATATGTCCCCCAATCCTATCAAGAGAGAACCTCATAGACAGTGTGCTGTTTATTACTTAAAAAAAAAAAAAAAAAAAAAAAAAAAAATTCAAAGATTGCAAGGTAGGCCTTTGCCTCAAACCTTGTTTAGAAGTTTATCATACTAAACTTCATTTCTAATAAATGTTTTTAAATATTTCAATAGTATATACATTTTTTAAATTTCATGAAATTTAATCAAGATAAATTTTCAAAATTTTTCTTTTATATGATTATTCTTCAGTTTCAATTTATTGACAAACTTTTTTAATGATCTAATTCTATATTGAAAAAAACTCTAAAAAATATTTGTATATTTTAACTCAAAAATGTATATAGATTTGAAATATGTAATTAAAAAATATGCACTTTTTGAACCTGTTCTGGTAAAAAAAAAAGTTATGCAGCAAGAGGATTAAAATAATATAATGTCTTCTTTCTATCCCTTTTTGAACGATAATACAAAAATGTGTGTACTACAAGAAAATTATGTTCAAAGCTTATGCCTTTTTAAACAATAGAAATCAAATGAATGGCATTTTTTAATTTGTAAATTTAGTACATTAATGAATCTCTATTCTAATTGAAAGATTACAGTATGTTAACATTATGAACCATGTTAGTTATTTGAAAAATAATTTTAATAATGTGTATAAAATTTAGTTTCCTTGTATGTCTCTCTTCTTTGGTACAATGTCTAACAAATGACTGGCTATCATGTGAGCGGACTTAGGTGTAAATCTTGGCTTAAGTATGGATGCACTTAAATTCTTTATGTCAGAAGTCCTTTGAAGTGGTTGGTAAAGGTAAAAAGACGTAACAGTTTTTTATAAGTCACCAGACACCTGTTAATAAAAAATAAGCTGGAACACAGCCATTAGGCCCGGGTATTCTTTACCATAATTGAATGATCTAATCGTATATCCAACATATTAAAAATGTTTTAATGCTTTTATATTTCTATTATCAGAAAATCTAGTTTGTGATATTGTAAGCATTAAATACTTTTCTGAAATTCTTTCTTATAGTTTGTCAAAGAGCTATAGAAAAGTATAGTTACATTGGGTTCTAGTCCTACTAAGGAAACAGGCTAACTAACGGCCTTAATGTTTTCGTGTGTAACATGAGTATGCAAGGTGTAAAAAATATTTTTTTTTAAATCACGTTTTTATGATTTAAGTTAGATTTTTTTTTTCCTCCACTACCTATTTTTCTCCCAATATATTAAATGCTTTCCGTACTTTCTTTGCTTCATTTTCTACCATGTTTGCATTGTTTAAAATATGTTAAACAATTTTATTTCTTGAAAAAGCTTCTTCTTGCATTCTGTGATTGAAGTCTCTTTAAAAGCTGTAATATCACAATATTCATATGCCACCTCATAGAGAAATGATTAAACCTTCTTCGTATTTTTAAATGTTTATTACATATATAAAATTACTCTCTAGATCACTAAAACTACACTACTAATAATTGAAAATATGTACACTCATTAATACAAGTTAATTTTGTTTCACTGACGACTCCCATGAGCCTTCCCTATCTTGACCTCTCTTAGGTCTCCCACCTGGAAACTAAACTTTAGGCACCTCTCAGATTTAAGTTAGTTTTTTCTTTTTCTGTATGAAGTTAGTTTCCTCTCTTGTTGGTTGATGTCACCTATACATCACAAAAGCATTACTAATTATCCTAAGTTTTGAATTTAACACATGTCCCAACATTTAAAAAGGAGAGAATACTGATTTGAAAGAAAGGTTTCTTAAAAAAAAAAAAAAAAAAAAAAAAACTACTGATAAAAATCATTATTTTAATTATTTGATTAAAATTACTAATACCCCGTTAAGTATGAGCAAGATAAATCTTTTATAGGAGGCTCCCTTTCCTAGTTAGAGAGCACATTTTTAAAGTAACTTGTCATAATCTAGTCAAACTGTTATTAATTTCATATCTACCTCTGTAAAGTAGTTAAAAAAATCTTTAGCTTTGTAAGATAAGATAAATCAAGTGCTAAACTTCATATTATTTGCAAATTTCAAGTGTATTTTTTAATATTATTAAAACATGATTGTTATTGTATTTTTAAAATATTTCATTTCATTTTAGTGAATCTGATGAGTTTTCTTCTGAGTTGTCAGAGACACATTCTGCAGGTTCACTAGAATTTTCTAGTGATCCTGATGATTTAAAATTAGAAAATGAAAATTTTGAACTGAGTAGTAAATTGTACAATGAAGCTACATCTAAGTCATTAACTCCAGCTGTCATTGATCCTAGTCCTGATACTGAAATAAGTGAACTGCCTGACGTTCAGTTTCTTGAATCACAGCTAAATGTAGAGTGCCAAGTAAATGGTTTGTACCTGTTAGTTAATATAGTATTTTTTTCCCCTTTTAGTATGGTGTAATTTATTATAAAAAAGTGGAATCATTTGTTTTGATTGTCGAAATTAAAGTTTTTTTATTATTATTGAATTTAATTTTCATTAACTTAGTTTCTGAAGTTTATGTCAACTCTGTAATTATAAGTACAATTCTAAATCACCAATGTATTTAATATATTTGTTGCTAGTTTGACTTTAAAACCTTCAGTATTATTTTGAGTATTAATCTTGAATATATTAATTCCTGTAATTAGGGGCAAGTTTTAATCAAGCAGTTATAAAATGTTTAGGAGGTCTAGCATTTCCATAATCTTGAAGTTAAAATATAATGGGATTTATAAGATTAAATGTATAAATCTTTGAGTGTATAATAAGTTTTATTCATAGACTATGCATATTCTTTTTAAAAGTTAAAGATGTAAATGTGAAACTGTGGCTTTTCTTTAAAAAATCTAGTTTTGGCTCTTGAAATTTCCTAAATCCTAACATGCAGCTCATATTGTTATGAAGTTTGGCCACCCCTGCTCTATTTTCTAGCAGTCCATTTTTAGTAATTTACAGAAAAGATGAAAAAAATTAAATTATTGTAAAACATCACTTGTGTCACTAAAAAACCCACTGATAACAATAACCTACTGGTTATTTGTAGAAAACGAGTTTTGTCGTCTCCTGCACTTTAATTATAATTTGCATAAAACCAGTTGTCTTCCATACTTAAAATTTTTCTGCAGAAAGCGCGTTTAGTCATTTCCCATGCTGTGATTTGTTTCTGTCTGTGTTTTAAAAATCCTCCTAAAGCAAGACTTGGCATTTTCATTACAAATGTTTATACTATGGCTTACTACTACTACATCAGGATCAGAATGTTCTGCAATTATCCTATTTAAGCTATAACGAATAAAAGTATAAAAAAATGTTGGTCTTTTTCAGAGAATGATAAATTTTGAGGCTTTCTCAATCTTCATTAAAAGGATTTGAAATACAATTGTACTTCCCATTTCAACTGGGCAAGCAATGTTTGAACAACCCTTAATGGTCTTTTAAATAAGTTATTTATGTTTTTCTTTGACTTCATTTAAAATTTGAAACTTAAGTTTCTGACAAGACTTTGTAATATGTCTCAAACATTTTAATCTAACTTTTTTTAAGTACATGATTTTAAAAAATCTAGGCTTTTGAGCAGAGAATCAGTTTTGTCAGATGGTTTGAAAACATTTATTGAACTGTTTGGCGGTTCTGGACCGAGTTTATTTATTTTTGAAAAAACATTAGATAGTTATGCAAGTTTTTATAAACCATTCATCATTGTGAAAAACTGAGCCTAGCTGAAATGTGTGTTCTCTAGGAATGTGTTTGGTGCAGGTGATAATCAGAACTATTATCTACCAGTAGTTTCTGTTCTGTGTGAAGATCTTTTTAAGTATTTAATAATTTTGCATGAACAACACTTTACAGCTGCCAATCACCATATATGGTACACTGACAGAGTAGGGAAGGGGACTAGATACAGTGTGTAAAGAATCCATTAATATGTGAGGTGTAGATAGGGCTAGTTACAACTTATTATTACTTGCATGCTTTTGAACACATTTTGGGTAAAAAAACAGTCACATTGGAAATAACTGAATTTTTTTCTTTTTTATCCACTACCAAAATGAAATTTTACAAACATTTTTATTAATATTTATTATAACACCGTGATATTTTTCACTATTACTGATAATTTTTTAGCATAGCTCAGACTAAGCTATCACTTAACCCCAGGGGTAACATGTATTACAGGTTGGTAACTAACGTGTCAGGTGCTTCTCTAAGCTTAGATTTTATTTTATTTGTCTGTGTAATTCATGCTTTAAGTTCTAAATGTGTGTATGTATCTTAACCTGTTAATGCATGCATAATCGTATGTTTATAATTATTTATTTTTAGAATCAAAAAGTGAGAAAATAGTAAACTTAGGTAACGCAGTTGCATCAAAAGAATTAGGTACAGAACATGAACCAAGTCTTCCATGTGAAGAGGAACATCTTAGTCATCCATGTGAAGAAAAACAAGCTGAATCATATTCTCCTTTGGTATGTTTAATTTTTTAATATAAATAAAATGTGAGCTTTGCATATAAAGAAGTTGTCGTTTCTAGTTAACTTGTTAAATATAGCAACAAATGTTTTTGCTGTTAAGAAATTTTTTTAATAAAATAATAGGATTTTAATATTATTAGATTTGGGAATAATTATGTGCATGAAATATTTAATAGGGCACATAGAATAATGTATCCTACAAACAAATATTAAACTCTTTATCATGTTTAGTATATTTTGTGAAACACTTTATTTAATAAAACTGTTTTTAAAATGTAGAAAACAAGTTATTTTAAAAGTAACAGAGGATTTAAAAATTTGAAAAGTTTAGAGGATAGCATGATTCATTTTTCATATAAATGCACAGATTTACCTCCCTTTTAATTGAAAAATTTTATTCTCACAATAATTACATTTTTACTTCAAATCACAGGTGTACAAAAGTTGTCCCCATTGACAGAAATTATTTGCCACCATGTCACAGAATTATAGCTGAACCCTTTCAGATGATGCACAGAATGTCATGCCTTGTCTAATGAACATTCACATGAATAATGGTTATCGCATTGAACACTTGTAATTCTAGCATCGTTGTTAACTGCTGCATAAGTGCTGCTGCCCTGATTGTTATAGGGTTAACAGTGCTGTTTACCATGTCAGAGCACCCAGCTTTGAATTCCAGAGATGGCATGAACATATAGGAGCGTATAGTGTTTGGATAGCAGGGGGTACTTGAAATACTAGTAAGCCGGAAGCCCTCTTGAGTTGTTTAGTGGTAGAAAAGGGATGAATATTTTCATTATTAAAAAATCTTATGTCTTTCTGTGAAAATCATACCATACTACTGTATTCAAATAGTTGAATTTTTACTTTTTATGTTACTTTGGGATCACCCAATATATTTGTACATGTAACAAACTGTAGATAATCATTTGTATATTTTGTTGTACCTGAATTTTTATAAACAGTAAATTCACAATAAGATGCTTATATTTTATACTTAACTAAAAACTAAAAACTGAATTTTTTTTTTTTTTTTTTTTTTTTTTTTTTAACTATTATCTAAAAACATGAAACTATAGATTAACACCTTGATGTCTACTGATAAAATTTCAAAATAAGTAAATAAATGCAAAATCAATTAAAAATAAACTGCCATTTGATTTTGATGTGCAGATATCATTTTAACACTTGAAATAATTTTAAACTGAAATTACTATATTCTTCAGCAATTTAACAGTAATCAACGTGTAAAATTGTATTGCATTAAAAATATAAAAAATCACATAATTACAGTTCTTTAAAAACTTATGATTTTTATGTTTGTAAAATTTTTAAATACTTATTATTATTATTATTATTATTGAAACTTTGAAAATGGTGAACTTCTCAAAACTGTAATGTGAAATTTTTCAGAGTATGATTTATTTTTGTATTTCTTAGCATTTTTTTTTATTATGTATGTATTTTTATTTGTATTTCTTAGCATTTTTTTTATTAAAATTTATTTTGTAAAATTTTTCAGGTTGAAAATGTGTGCATAAGTACTCCTCCTCGACCAGGTAATAAATCAATTGTAGAAAAAGAAATAGTAAAAATTATTATGATGCATTTTGCATATTATATTTGTTAGTTTTGCTGAAGATTTAATAAGAAATTTTATCTTGAATTTTAAGTCATTCATGCCATGTAATGAATGACAAATATTTATTTTACTTTCTTTAAGTTTTTCTGAGATTTTAAATGTTTATAGTATTTTTGAAAAATCTATCAAAGCATGTAAAATATTATTTTTAGTTCTGTTAAATTCTTATTTAACTTACATTAAATAATAATGCTGTATGACTTAAAAGTGCTGAGAGTTAAAATATTTTTGTTTCAAAAGTGAGCCAATCATATAAGATACTCATTTTTAATGCTGTTAAACTTTTATTTATTTGATAATGCTAAATAATAATACTTTGCGACTTAAAAGTGTCATTTATATGTTTATTCAATTATTGCAAAAAGAAGGGATCCCCTTACATGACATATTTTCTAAGAGAAACTGGCCCATTTTCTTGTGACTCATAAATTCATTAGGGTTAAAAGCCAGGTCGAACAAGTGTTGCTTAAAAGCACGTTATTCTCCCCACCCCCTGCATGGAAAATGAATGCAAATCTAGTTCCTGTTAAATGTTTTCTCTGATAAGATAGTCATGGTGTACTTAATCAGATATTGTACCATGTGCAATACCTGATTAAGCTAGCCTGGAACCCTTGGTGATTTTAGAGGACCTGAACACCTACACTTTTTTCCTTTATAAGGAAAAAACAGGAATTTGCAGAAATGTAGAAAAATGTGGGGGTTTCCCTAACACTTGGTGCCTAAGTGGTAATCAGATCCTGACTGTTATACATTCTAAGGATTTATTTAATACTTTAACCTGGAAGTAGTCTTTTTTACTTCCTTGTACGAAGTAAAAAGGAAGTATTGTAATCGCAAAAAGTTTCAGGCAGCATATTTCAACGAAAATATCCATTTTGACCGCTTTCAAATGTAATTTAACGATGTTTTTGCACGATATCTGTACGTAAGGACAGAATAAAAGACTCTTTTCCTCCAAAAAAAATTATAAAACTGCTTTAAATCAATTCTGAAGAGAATTTTGTGACATGGCTGTCACAAACATAATTCTATCAATCAATCAAAACCAAAAGAAGAAAAACAAAAGAAATTTACGCTGTTTGCAACAATAAAATGAAGCAAACGATGCTCACATAAACATCCTGGCCCTCGTTGAAATCCCAGGAGATTTCAACAGTTGGAGCATTTTGAAACTTCTTAGTCTATAATAAAAGATAAACATAAGAAAAATAATACAAAATATTATATGCGAAGCAGTTCATAGTTTTTAGTCTGAATAGGAAGAGGACACAATTTCACGACTGGTCGTTTTATGACACCATGACCAGTTTTAACAACTCTAACTCTATGATCTGAGCCTGGATGAACAGCAATTATTCTCCCTAACCTCCATTTAAGAGGCAGAAGATTGTCTTCTTTGATGAGGACTAAGTCATTGACTTCTAAATTATTTTGACTTTTTTACCATTTAGGTCTTTGCTGAAGCTGAGACAGGTATTCTCGACTCCATCTTTTCCAGAAGTGCTGAAAAATAAACTGTTCACATGTCATCTGTCAAGGTGATTGAAGGAGCTATAATTTAGGTCTGGTTCAGGTATGGCAGTTAAAGACGTTCCTATTAGGAAATGAGCAGGTGTTAATGCAGTTAAATCATTTGGATCAGCCGATGTTGGACACAATGGCCTAGAGTTGAGACAAGCCTCAACATGCGCTATCAAGGTCTGAAATTCCGGATAGGTCAGCACAGTATCACCATTTTAGATGTAATTTCATTGACTTTACTGCCGATTCCCATAGTCTACCAAAATGTGGAGATGATGGCGGGTTGAATATCCATTTTATTTCCTCTAAAGACAAACATTTGTGAATTTCTTGATTTTGCTTACATTGCAAAAAACATTTTCTGATTTCTTTGTCTGCACCTTTAAAGTTAGTACCTCAGTCACTGTAAATCTCAAATGGTTTCCCTCTTCTTTCAATAAATCGTGTCAATGCACTTAAAAATGCCTTTGTTGACAAATCTTCTACCACTTCAAGATGTACTGCTTTGATTACAAAACACACAAATAAGCATACGTAACATTTAAGTGATTTTTGTCCACGTCCTGCACGATGATTAATCATGAACGGTCCAGAAAAATCTATTCCAGTTCGATGAAATGGTCGCGATTGTGTTACTCTAGATTCCGGTAGATCAGCCATTATTTGACTTGCAGTTTTAGCTCTAAGTTTGCAACACATGATACAAGGTCTTACTACTTTTTGGATAGCAGATCTAGCAGCTATGATCCAAAATTGCTGTCTAATTAAAGATAGAAGAAGTTCTGGTGCTGCATGCAGATATTTTACATGAAAGTGTCTGATTATGATTTCTGTCAGATTGTGTTTTGAAGGTAATAAAATTGGATGTTTTTCATTTTCTGATAGTTGTGCATTTTTCAGTCTTCCTCCTACACGTAACGCTTTGTTGTCATCTAAAATTGGACACAAGCTAAGGAGGTTGCTGTTTGTAGGTAAGTCCTTTCCCAACTCCAAACATTGAATTTCCTTAAAAAAAGTGAAATTGCTGTATTATTCGGACAATACAAAAAGTTGCAGCTCAAATTTCATTACTAGATAAAAAAGACGTATTTCTTTCTAGATATGCTACTTTAGAATTCAATATGAATCTTAATATCCAAGCAAATATGTGTTGCAACTTTGGAAATGAAGATGTATTTGATATAATAGCAAGTTTAGTAGAAAGAGAGGTAGAGGTTCAGAAACTACAAATGAGACTGTTTTACGTGCATCTGGTAATGCCTCTTCATCTATAAGAATATTTTTAGGCAAGTCAATCTCACTGCACTTTAACCAAGAAGAACCATTCCACCACAATTGATGAGATAATAGTTCTGCAGAAAATAACCCACGTGAAGCACAATCAGCTGGATTTTCTTTTCCATCAACATGACTCCAGTTCTCAGGTGGTAAGATGGATTGTATTTCAGAAACTCTATTGGATACGAATACATGCCATTTTTTTAGGATCACTCCAAGCTTGCACTAAATCAAAATTTATAACTAATGCAGCTTTTACAGACTGAATCAAGCGTGCCAATAACACTGCTGCACATAATTCCAGTCTTGGAATCGTAATAGATTTTAATGGTGCTACATGAGTTTTAGCTGTTACAAGTTTAACATTAATGTCAGAGTTATTGCAAGTTTTGATATAAATAACTGCTGCATAACCCGTTTCAGATGCATCACAAAATCCGTGAAGTTCACATCGAAAATAATCAGGTAGCAGAATTTTCCGAGGTATATTTATAGAATTCAAAAGTTTAACTTCTCTACATAGATTTCACCAATTTTGATCAGTCTCTTCTGTTACAGGATCATCCCATGATAATTGTAATTTCCGCAATTGCTGAAGGATCATTTTAGCGAGAATTACAAACGGAGCTATCCACCCCAATGGATCGAATAGCTTTGCTACAAATGACAAAATAATCCTTTCAGTTGGAACACTTAGATACTCTATTACACCGACATTACATTTGAATTTATCATTGTCCGGATGCCATTCCAATCCCAGAACTTTCAATGTTTTGTCTTCTATTACACGATGAATATTGTCACTATTTGTGTTTGTTAAGCCAGAGGTTTTTAACAATGGCGGTTCACTTGTCGACCATTTGTGAAGCTCAAAGCCACCCTTTTTTAGCAGTTGTTGCAATTCGTCTATCAAAGCAATACCTTCCGAACTATCTTTTACACCAGTTAACATATCATCAACATAAAAATCTCTTAAAACTATATTCTTTGCCTTTGGAAAGTTCAATCCTTCATCAATCACTAACTGACTCAAAACTTTGGTTGCAAGATATGGAGCAGCTGCAGTTCCATATGTAAACTGTTTTTCAAACAACAAACTTGTATTTGTTTTATACGGGCTATCTCTCCATAATATTCTCTGAAAATCTCTATCTTTTTCATGAACCTTTATCTTTCTGTACATCATTTTAAATATCAGCGGTTATTGCAATGTTATGAAGTCTAAATCTTAGTAAAATACAAATTAAGTCATCATCTTGTATTTTTGGGCCTATCATTAACGTATCATTTTAAGAAACATCTGTGGTTGTTTTAGCACTCGCATCTCGAAAACAACTCTCAATTTTGTTGTTAAGCTAGAGTCCTTCAACATGAAGTGATGTGGGATATAATAGTGTTTATTCTCTAATTCATAATCCTGTGTCTGGCACTAATTCTACGTGTTCTAGTGAAAAGTACTCTTTCATAAACTGAATATACTGGTTGTAAATTTCTTTCATAGATAACAGCCTCTTCTCCAAGTATTGAAATCTTCTGTGCGCCATTTCACAGGAGTCACCTAGAATATCTCTATTATGTTTGAATGCAACTGAATAATGGTAATGCAACTGAATAACGACCTGATGTGTCTCTAAAATGCGAGTTTTTAAAATGTTCTTCACAAAGTTTTTCTTCATTTGTTAAAGGTTGTACATTTTGAAACTTTTCTAACTCCCAGAAAGAATTTACTAACTCATCTGTGTTTGTATTCAAATGATTTACATGTACTGGCTCAAAATTTGTAGATTCAAAATTTGTAGTACCCGAAATTATCCATCCCAACCTCGAATTTAGAGCAAATGGTAGATCAGGACCACGTTTGACAATTTCCCCTGTCATTAAATGCAGAAATAGATTTACTTCAAATAAAATGTCAACTGGTTGTGACTTGTAAAATAATGGATCAGCTAATTGTAAATCACTGAAGTTATCGAAGATGATTGATGGCAAAGATACATAGGGAATGTTATCTGTCACCTTGTCCAGTACAAACGCTGATGTGAATATCTCTTTTAAAATGAGAAGTGAATACTAAATCGACTTCCCCATTACTTGTTGTATTAAATTCTCCTAGACATGATACAGAAATGGAATTATCTTTCACTCGTAATCCTAATTTCTTCACACAATCCCTTGAAATAAATGATCTCTGACATCCAGTGTCACATAAACATCTACACAAATTGTTGTTCAGAATTTTAAACTTTTATTAAAGCAGTACACAATAAAATGTGACTGGTTTGATTACTTTTTGCATTCGAATTATAATGAGAGGCACAAACTGTGGCTGAAACATCCTTAGGACTCGTAAATTCATCTCTTTTAGGGATAGATTGTGTAGGCGGAGATATACTGTTTAACTGAGTTTTATTCTTTGAATTATTTACAATCTGCAAAATACTGTGATGCTTCTTAAAGCAATGTTGACATGTATTTAAACCTCTTGCATTTTTTGAGCAAGTGCATATTAGATAAACAATTAAAACAGTAATGATTAGATTTTACAAATTCTATCCTTTGTTGAACCGATAAATTTAGAAATTTCGAACATTTGGCTAAACTATGATCTTCTTTACAATAACCACAACCCAAAGTAGCAACCAGAACATTATTCTTATTTTGAAACACAGATTTAGGTACCTTGTTGATTTGCTATTTTGAAGTGTTCTTGCATAGTTTTTTAGGAATTTAATTAAAGTAGTAAGTTTTGGAATCTCATTACATTTTAACTGACGTTCCCACTAATTTGTCCTCTCTTATTTGAATATCTTTCGTCTAACAGATTCCATGCTATTTCAAAATTACAATCCGAAATTTGAAAGGTTTGAGTAATGCGATATGCTTCACCTTTCAACGAAACCTTCAAATGCTGCAATTTTTTAGGCATTAGATAAATTTGTATTATTTCTTACACAAGCACTGAAAAGATCTTTAAAAAGCTATCCATTCTGTAATATTACCACCAAAAAAAGTCGGTAATGTTAACTTGGGTAATTTTAAATTGTCAAGAACCTGTTCTGAAATTACACTATTAGAATTACTTTTTACTATTTGATTTTTTAATATTTTTTTCACACCTTTAAATTTCCACAAATAAATTTTATCTGTATACTCCTGAACATTATCTATTCGTTTTCTAATTCTTTAGTATCTGTAATTAAACTTTTGATTTCAGAATCAAGCTTCCTTAACTCAGTTTTTTTTTTTTTTTTTTTTTTTTTTTTTTTTTTTTTTTTTTTTTTTTTTTTTTTCAATAATTCGGCACATTCCTCTAGTTCTATTAAATTAATTTCATCTGCAGTTAAATTAGTTTCAATTTTCTTTACATAATTAGTAACATTCCTGTGGAAATCCATTCTTTTTGTTTTAAAAGTTATAAGTTCAGTCATAATTGATCAATTCAAAAACAGAAATTGTTCTTAAATCACTTAACACTATTATTAAAATGAAATCTAAACACTTTTCTATGTTGTATTACAACATTGTTCTTAAAATCAGTTATAAACGAATTTTTGTTCAAAATCCACTTACCTCACAAAGTGGAGTAATTTTTCACCAACCATATATATATTTGCATTGTTACAATGCACTAAGAACAGTCACTATCTTCACTAGCTCTCCGGCTAGACTTTTGACCAATAATAATGATCTTTACTTAATATGTTTCACAAACAATAAATACATAACACATGGACTGTATTTCTTCACTTTTATTTCATTACACTAATTATAAATAAGATGTCAGCGATGCCATATAATTGATACAAAATAAGCAAGCCATTCTACATGGCTGTCGCAAACATAATTCTATCAATCAATTATCTTTTTGCTACACATAAAGTTCAAAACTAAAGGAAGAAAAACAAAGGAAATTTACGCTGTTTGCAACAATAAAATGAAGCAAACGATACATAAACAGTTGCTGACCCCTTTCCTCACTATCAACTCATTTCTTGTCTATATCTAAAATTGTGAGTCAAGAGGTCAGGTAGTTTTTGTATTAAATATTCACAAATATGCATATTTACATATGCACATCATCCATAGGAATTTTATAACCAGTTATTAAAAATTTATTTATTAAAAATTAATGAAGTATGTAAGATTATGTAATCTTTAACATTTTATACATCTTCAGATGTATTGGTTGCTTGTTAATATTATATTTTTATTATCTTTAACAGGCACAATTGCTGAGCGAGAACACAAAAAATGGCTGAATGCTATTCCTTTAAAAAATAATCCTTACAGTGCAGAAAATATATCAAAAAGACTTAGTTATTCAAAAAAAGCTATTTTAAAGGAACCCATTTCATCATTTGAAGAATTTGAGCGTAAACTGTCTGTTTCATCAGAAACTTCAGAATCTGCCATGAATAAGCTAAACTGTGGTCCGAAATCAATAGATAGTGAACTTTATAAAAGGGATTATTATGTAAACAAAGATTATGAGATTCAAGGTGGAAATATATATCCTGTGAAAAAATCAAAATCTATGTGTTCTATAAATGATGACGGCTTTGATGCACTTTCCGAAGAAGCACTGAATTCTTTTGAAGAAAAGGTGAGTTTTTTTAAAAAAACATGTCTAAATTTCTGTCTTTTTCCTCTCATTAATAACCATTAATTGACATTATATTTCTATCTTGTAATTGCTATATGTAGTTTTTTTTTTTTTTTAAGTATCTAAAAATATTGTGATTTCAACTAAATAAATTAAAAAGTTAGCATCACTAATAATTTATAGCTGCCAACTCTTCTGGTTTTTCATCATATCTTATCTTGCAGATCACCAAATATCCCAGTTTTTAATTTTTAGCTTATTATTTCAACACTACTAATGCAAGACATCATGAGTCTTCTTTTTATAATTTTTAGCCTTTTATTTCATTGCTGTTGATATAATTTTGTTTTTCATCTGCCACGTACTTGCTCAAGTTTAAGGGGGCATATGACATAAAAATTTCCAATTTTGGGCTAAAAAATAAAGTAGCCTGAGAGGATTCCAAAAATATATAATTTATCCATGTTTAGAAATTTTAAGACCGAAATCTTTCATTAAAAAATTTAAACAGGTAGTAGCAAGCCCACCAGTTGAGAAGGGACAGATGTCTGGTGTGGCAACAATAAAGCCATATCAGCTGGTAAAATGTATGTTCATAAACATTCTTTGTTAGAACTTGTTTTATTAGCTGAGAATAAATCTTTAGAAGTCTCTCTGACAAAAAAAGTACTGTCAAATTGCATTCATGGAAGAAGTCAAAATCCACCGCTCAACCTGTGTAGTGGTTAGCGACACTGACTGCAATGCCGAAGGGCCCGGGTTCGAATTTCGTAGAAGGCATCGGTGTTTGTAAATGAATAGTGTCCGTGTGGCATGGAAACACCCGAAATATGAGGTGTGCTCAATGCTGTTGTCAACAACATGTGCTCCTTGCGCTGCTGTATGTCTGACAAGTGAACAAAAACAACTCAAAATCCAAATGAAGGTTTTAATAATTGCATCTTCACACGCATACCAAAAACTTTTTTTTTAGTGTTATCACATTAATATTAGGTTTATTAGATGCGGTAATATTATTTAATGATAGTGTACAAAGCCGCAATAAATAATGGAATTATTGGGAATACAAGTAGGGTTTTATACGGCAAAGTTTTTGCGAAAATAGATTGCGATAGAATTCGTGAGGCCCATCTCTCTTACCAAAAGCTTTATAAAATGGCCAGAAAGAAACATAAGTTAATAAAACAAAAACAACTAGATATAGAAATGGCAGTTCAAGATGATTATGCAGAAAAATGTTAAAATAATTTTTTTTATAAATTATTAATGTTTAAATTGTTTTTTCAGTTTTTCTCAAAATGTGTTTTTTTTTAAACTTTCGGCACACTTTTCTTGAAAACAATTCAGCCTAGAAGGTTTAAAATTTCCAGTTGTATATCTTAACTATTTCTTTGAAACTATGCAGGATAAAAATTTATGATCATTAGTTTTGGATATTCAAAATTTAATACCATTTTTTCTATAATTTTCAAAACATTTACTAATTTATTTTTAATATTTTTTTTTTCTTGTCGAGTAAAATGTAAACTACTGCTTGTTATTCTTAAATGACATGTTTTTAACCATCTTGCAACATCTGAAAGAGTTTGATGCAGTATTTTTTTTTAAGAAAAGTGTACCAAAGTAGCACACTGTCACAAAAGATTCGTCAAAGGCAAAAGAAATTAAACAACAGGTTTTTAAAAAATATTATGCTTTTAATTTATATTTTATGTGTTTTATATAATCTGCGCTCTGTCTATTTTAAATGAAAAAAAAAAACGAATCTAGAGTATACGTTTATTTTGAGAAACGTTATACCGTAATAACCTTTGTCCCGAAATAGTTGCATTTTCCCAGTCGATATGTCACGTGTCCACTTAAGTGAAGTGAAGGGATCATACCTGATATGATATAAAGAGATTCCCCCCCCCTCTGTATTCATCCACTGGTTTTATGCTATAATGTTTTAAATTTGTAGTTAGTTATTAATTACCATATATTCCTGTGTATAACACACACTTTGAATAAAAAAAAATAAGACCAGAATTTATAGATTTGCATGATACATAAGGTATAAAATGATTGGTTCAAAAATAAGGAATGAGCATTAAAAAAAATATTTTTATATATATGTAAATGCTGTTCATTTAAAAAAAAATGATATACCTTATGAACTTTAAAATTTTCATTATCGGATAACGTGAAAAGTTCTCCATATTTGTCTTCTCTTCTATCTTCAGGCACATCATCAAATTCTGTTTCATCTTCACAATCACTGTTACTTTGATCTGTAAATAGATAATCATCTTCCATTCCATCTAGATTATTAGATATACTGCACTTTTTAAATGGCTTTTGAATTATGTGAGGTTTAATTTTAGTCCATGCTTTCATTATCCATTCATACACTATTTCTAAACTGACATGATACATCTGGCTTCCCTTTTGTAAATCCTTTTTTTTTTTTTCTTTGCCCCGCTACCTTCTATCATCCATGTATTCCACTGTCATTTTAAATTTTCTTCGAATGGTTTATTGATACACATCTAAAGGCGCTAATATGCCGGAAATAACTGCCATGTCTGTATAACACTCTTTCAGTAATTTCTTCATGTTATCCTTAAGATGAGATCTGAACTCGTCCCAGACTAAAAGACTTTCTGGATTCTTTTGCCAAATATTTCTTATCCTCAGTTTGACACCATTTTCATCCATCTATCCTTTCTCGTGAACATGAATGAAAACACTGTTTGAGAAATTATGGTTTGGCATCATTGTTCTTTTAAAAATAACCATGAATTTTAATTTTGAACCGTCCACTAAGCAGGAAAGCACTACGGTGAAGTGAGATCTTTCGTGACCTGTTGTTTTTATGTGGACCATTTTTGTTCATTGCACATCAATTGTTTTATTTCCTATCATATCAAACATTACTGGATTTTAATCCATATTTTCAAAATGTGACAATATCAATAGCATACTCCTTGAAATCATCAATAGCATACTCCTTGAAACTAATCAGTTTATTACCCACATCTTTCAAAAGCCTTTGCAAAACTTTTGTGTTTTCTTGTAGAACTAAATTATTCCATGCCATAAATGTACTACACCAATTCAAAGTTGCTTTAAAGTTTTCACTTTCATCTGCATTCTTTTTGGCCCACTTTAAAGCAAATAAACATATGTTGGTTCTTGTTACATTAATCTATTGTAACCCTTTTCTAGTACCCAGTTCATAATACTTTTTTCTAGGAAAAGCCATTTTGTCACTCCTTTATGCAAAGCAGATGTATTCTTTGGCATATTAATTACAGTGATTTCATTTTCCCTTCCCTCACATATGGAATTTTCACCAACACCAAACATCCTTGCTTTGCAAAAGAAAATGTGCATTTTCATTTGCACTATGTTTGTTTCTTTTTGTGGGAACCATATTTACTACCAAAAAGAGCACTAGGTCAACTGTATTTCAATTAAAGTAAATGTGATTTGCTGAAGTCTTCGATTTTTTATTACAGAATCACAGCTTCAAATGACTACAGAAGGAGAAAACATCTAACTCCTAATTCCATGAATTAAGGTTGGAAGTGCATTCTTACTCCAAATTATATCTCATCTTTTCTTGAAGCACTGCAGTAGCATTCTTTTAGACATCTGCATTGAATACAAGTCACAGGAATATTTACTGAAAATTCCAGTGGAAAGCCATTCCCCCCCCACTGGGTTATTATAGACATACTATTTCTCATCATCTGGTACTTACAGTTAAAAAAAATGGTTGTTTATAATGATGGTTAATTATGAAGTTACACATGGAAGACCTTTGCAGTTTGTTATCATCACTGAATGTATGGGTTACCATGCAACAGCATGTTAAAACTCCCCAGTACATTTAAAGTGGACTTAACTGCTCACTAAACAGCATTTATCCTTTCTAAAATTTGCTCAGTTGGTTTAGTGAAGATCTTCTTTCAGAGTAGTTCAGAAAGTGTTTTCAGTAAATGGAACTAATCTTGGGATTCTTGGGACATCTTCAAGTTCAGATTTGCTGCTACAACATTTGATGAACCATTGGTAACATATAAACAATTTGCATAATTTGGAAGTTGTAGTAATTGTGTTAGGGCTGGCTGCTGACTCTGAAAGAGCAGCATAATGTCATAGTATGAGCTTCTCCAAGTCTGCTGTTATTTACGTTTTAAAGGATTTTTAATGCTTTCTAAAAAAAATCTCAGTTGAAAATATAACTTGTGTGCGTTTTAGCAACTAAAATAGGGTAAGTCCAATGTTACAGCCACCCTAAGAAAAGTGCCAAAAATATATGTCTGTCAAAAAAAGTATGTTATGATTCTGTTATTTAACTTTGTTAATAAATTGGTATTAGGTGTTTATGGATTTAATTAAATGTATGCATTGCTTTTATATATTTAGCACTAGTGTCATTATAATTTTACTTCTGGAATTTTTAGGTTTATATCAGCTCTGGGAAAGTTTTCACATTAGAAAACCATGTTAAAAGACTAGAGCGTGAACTAAAGGATTTATCTCCATCTTCTGAAGTGCCTAGTGTTCAGTTCATTTCTATCTAAGACTCCATTGCAGGTATTTGCTAAAAATGTTTTCAGGGAGGGAAATATGTTATGGTTAAAATTTGCAAAAATTGGTATAATTGTTTGCAAAAATTGTCATAAAGCTTTTATTTTTGTTAAGTATCCTCACCAGTTAGTCTTATGTAAAGCCAGCATGTGATTTCATATCATTAAAAGTTTCAATTTTCATTAGTTTCTTTGATCATATTTATAGCAAGCATATTTAATTATGTATTAAACAAAAATAGTTCAATGAATTTCATGTATATGACATAAAGAGGATTATATTGGAATTAATATATTGGAACATGCAATATAAAAACAGTATATTTGGTTTTATCTCAGTTGATTCTGTTAAATTAAATTGCTACTAAAAACTGTTAAAGTTAATTGCTAATTTTTTTATCATTATTTTCAGAGAGAGAATTTACTTGTAATAATCTTGTTAGTTATTATTTAATTATTTTATGCATTCAAAAACTTAGTTGTCATTAGAAATTAATTATACTTCTGGTGTTGTGCAGTATTTTTCTCCTTTTTTCAAGTGCAATAAAATTAGAATGAATATTATTAAAAATGCAGTTTCAGAATATTGTTATAATGATGGCTATTAACAAATAAAAGTTTTTTATTAATTTCTTTTATACATTTTTTTAATTCAGAAACAAAGAGTACTAAATTTTGCATGATAACATATGAACAAAATTAAGAAAATTTGAAATATGAAGTTAATATAAATATGTACTAGCTATGAAAAATATGTAATGCATGGCAGATGCCTAACTGAAAAAAAACTCAAATGTTCACTCCTTGTTCATTAATGCTGCAATCTATGCATAACTTTTGGTCAAATAGACAGGCTTTTGACAAGTATAACATTTATAACATTTTTTTGTTGGCACTACTGGCCAGCTTACATACTATTTTGTTTCAAGCCATTATGCCCAGCCAGTGGGAAATTATCTACTGCCTAGCCAACCACAACATAAAGGCTGATAGGACAATCAGCCATTAATTTCTGCGTATTAGTAGAATTACAATAATAATTGAAGATGCAGTTCCGTATATAATACGTGAGACTGAAACCTATAGACATTGGAATTTTACAAATCTTGAAAACCTCATTTTACAGATATTTAAAATGTTTTAAGAGTTATAGTTTGGGAAGAAAAAATATGAAGGATGTATCTTTTTTACATATGAATTTTGAACAGAACTCAGAATTATAATATTAGCTGTTACTGTTATTACAGAATTGGTGTTTGCAATCTTCACAGTCATTAATGTTTATAGTCTTTTTAGTCTTGAAAGGTGTTACAACTCTTATCATTTATGTATTTAATTATCTGTATTGCTCTATTTAGAGCTCCATGATTGTCAGGGAGCAACTTGCACCATTTTTATTCATTACTTGTTGATAGTTTTGACAGGTATAGCCTTGTCATTATGTGACTGTCGTGTAGGTAAAGGCCGAGTTTACCCTGTATACCACAACAGCAGCACATATCTGTTTCTCTTTTACCAGATCTGTGTATCTATGTACGAGTGGGACAATGACATGTGCAGCATAGCTACAGTTAGTCTTGATTTTGGTGGAGACCTTCAGAAAATATTTATTTTATACATTTATAACAACATATAATAACTCATAAGTGGGTATTGCTTTGTTAACTTTGAGCTATAAGTGTTTATTAAATATCCATTTTTGAGTCTCTTTCATAACAACTTTTAAATTTAAACATAATCATTACAACCATCCACATTTGAATAAGCAGTGTTTCACTAATTGTTTAAAATGTCTTCCGTTTCCTTCTGTTTTTAATGATAAGTAAATTAATTTTTTGAATTTACTTTTCCATGGTAACAATGTTTGGCATGCCCATCAAGGCCCTGATATTTATATTCTGTGGCCTCTGGCCCACATTTAAAAGGTCACTTTGCAGGTGTGCAGAATAATTTCTCTTTTCATTGTACATAAGCAGAGTAATGTAATTATTTTAGTAATTATTTTCTAATAATTATTTTCTAGTAATTATTTATACTAATTTCTAGTAATTATTTTCTAAATCTAGGTTTAATATATAGGACAGAATAATATTTGCTTATTAGCATTTTTTGAATTACAGCCAATTTCAAATTCAAATTAATTAGAACATATAAAAGAAACATGTAAAAGAAAACAAAGAACTATACTTCAGGTCAACCTAAGTTGAGAACACTGGATATACTAGAAAGTGTATGCGTCCGCCGAAGCATATAGTTCTACCGTTTCGAGAAGTAATATTGTAAAAATTATGCTGTGAAATATGAATACTGCTGAACAAGAACATAAGGGAAAAAATGTGTAAAACAATAGATTACTTTGCATCTAGCTTTTTAATTAAAAATTTGCTAAATCATGTCAATCATTCGATGACCAGCAGGAAGACAGCCCCCCCCCCTTTTTTTTTTTTTTTTTTGGCATTATTGGCGAAATTGCAAATTCCACCAACCCCGAGTTCACCCCACTCTCAATGAGAAAAGGAATTAAAGCATTCATTCATTCACTGACCGGGAGGAGACAAAAGCACTTGTCATGGCGTCTGCGTCATCTTCGACATATGTGTTTAATTTTCAGCCTCATAAAGCTGGAAAACCATTGTGCAGTGCCACTAAGATTATCATTATGAATGTTTTTGTCAAATTACGGGAGCATTTTCCTAAGAAATCCGATAACGATATTGTTACATTTGCTGCTGATTTGACTGGTGTTTCTGTAACAAGCATAAATCGCATGAAATCCGAATTGAAAGAAAATGGAGGATTTTTGACTCCAGGTAAGAAACGACCTCTGAAAGTCGGTACGCAAACCAGAATCAAACGATATAATGAATTAACTTTAGCAACAATACAAAGGAAAGTTCATGGTTCTTTTTATGGAATGAAATTCCCATGGTTCAAAAAGTGGCTAAAGTTATAAATGATGAAAGCTGATTTGCCAAATATGTCCATTCGCACAGTAGGATGAATTATGAATGATTTAGGATTTGCGTACAGAAAACGAAAGCGCCAGTCAATTTTGATTGAATGTGATGATATGCAATGCTGGAGGCATAGATATCTAAGAGAGAAAAAAATATATCGTTCACAGGCCAGTACAATTTATTACACTGATGAAACTTGGGTAAATTTGGGGCATTCTAAAACCAAAATTTGGGAGGATATAACTATAAAAAGTGCTAAGAGAGCCTTTTTGAGCAGTCTTTCAACAGGTTTAACTCCTCCCTCAGGAAAAGGCTCACGGTGTATAGTTGTTCATGCTGGTAATGAAAACGGATTATTCCTGAAGAAGCATGTGATATTCGAAGCTAAGAAAAAGAAAGGAGATTACCATGGGGAAATGAATTCAGAATATTATGAAAACTGGTTTGAAAAAAAAATTACTGCCTAACTTGCAACCGAACAGTGTAATTGTGTTGGATAATGCGTCTTATCACAGCGTTTTGTCTGAAAACATTCCTTCTTCAAGTACAAGGAAAGCAGACATTCAGCTGTGGTTGACAGAAAAAAATATTCCTTGGGAAGCTGATATGTTAATAGCAGAACTTTTAGTTCTTGTTTCTAAAATAATTTGAATTCCATCGTATAGATGTTGTAGCTGCTGAAGCCGGACATACTTTTTTGCATTTACCACCATATGATTGCAAACTGAACCCAATTGAACTCATATGGAGTAGTGTGAAAGGGTATGTAGCATCCGAAAACAGAACTTTTAAAAAGAATGATGTCCATAAATTGATTGAGAAAGGAATTGATTTGGTGACTCCTATGCAATGGGCTAAATGCGTGAGGCATGTAATAGAAGAGGAAGAGAAAATGTGGAAATTAAATTGTCTGGTGAAGAACACCGTTGAGTGCGTGCAATTTAACATTGATGAGTCGGATAGCTCAGATTCTTCAAATGATAATCTTAGCGGGATTGAATACCTCAGTTGAAAAAATTTACAAATAGAAGGGCCGTCTTCAAGGCCACAAATTTAAAAAAAGACAGAACTATAAACAGTTGTAAATAACATTATAAATACAACTTAACATCTATTAGAAAATATAATATGAAAGTGTCCCACCAGTAGCCGAATGTTTAAGATCGCTGAACATTGTTTGAACCCAAGTGAACGGGCTGGATTCATGTTCAGTTTTTGTGGTCTTTCCCATGTACAACATGAATACGAGCCCGTTTCCTTTAGAAAGTTCTCCACGAATATATCTCACCCCTTAGTCAGATAGCTCTTGTGTGCTTTGCTATATTCAAATCACCTAACCTAACCAATACGGAATTACTGATCAGTTAACTATGGTGGAAAGAGCAACATCCTTTAGAAAATGTGGAAATTTAATTTCTACATTTTCTAAAGGATGAGATGTCTTCGTGGAGAATTTATAATGGTAAAGGACTTATTTTATATAATACACTGAGATACTCCAATGCAGAGCTTACAGTCATTACATTACAGTTTAATTTTTTATAAGTTTTTAGTTCATATGAACATTTGCGCTTTGTTATAACTAACAAAAGACATTCTAATGTTATATGTTAACTGATTGGTACAAATATAGGTATAAGATCATTTAAGTCTTATTTTATGTTTGTTTTACAATTTTAAAGTTTTTAATATTTTTCTAATATCTTGAAATTTTTAATGGTAAACTCTTCAGCCGTTAGACTGTAATCCGAAGATCTGTGTTCCCAGTATTTTTATTTATTTTATTTTTGATTTTAACAGTAATAAAAAAGATAGGATAAGACGTACTGTAGGAGAGTGATTCTCTGGGCATGACTGGAAAAGTATGTTGTGTTAGGAGACAATACCGGATATAATTTTTATTCATGTCTGTTACAAAATATAATCAGAGTTTTTAAATAATCGGAAATTAAAATCAAATTAACATCTTTAGAAAATAAAAATCAGCATTTTTCTCTGGTTCACGTTTAAAAATTAAAAGAAAATAACTCCTACCAGATTTTCTAAATTTATATATTTTACTTTTAATAAGTGAACGGTTTTGGGAAAAAAATTTAACCCAAACTACAAGGAATACATTGTTAGCTCTTCTGTTTCAAGTTTTAAGTAATGATTCTTTAAATGTCATCAAATTCGTATGCGTCATATTTAGATTATAGCGAAAAATTTCATATAAATTAAGACAATAACATGCCCTATATTTTACACTACAATGAACTAATAATTTCAACTGCAGCTTTATCACATAAAAAGATTGTTACTTAAAAATATGCTGGATTTGGCAAGAAGTCGCTAAATGTGTAGCAAATTGGAGGAATTGAATTTCTGCGGGTCTTTGGGTGCGCATGGATAACTTAAAGAACAGGGTGAAAAGCCATGAAAAAGTCGTTCTAGCCTTTGTATGTGTTCTCAGGTTAGCTTGTCTTGAAGTATAGTAAATTTGAATTCACATAAATCGGTATTGCTGTATTGAAGTTAAGCAAAAAGGGGGGAATACATAATTACTGTCATGTGGTCATTCGGGTACCAAAACAGATTTTAAAGTTAACAGAAAAGTTTCTGATACAAACTGCATTTAATGTGTGATTTTGGTAGACATTTTCATGGAACACTGAGGGCAAGTTTCATTTTTCATTTGAAGAGGGGGGGGGCATTTTCTTGGTAAACAAAAATTTCTGAGAGGTTAACACATAAATTATTGCTGATATTCGGCATGTATTGCATTTATATGTATATTGCTGATATTCGGCATATATTGCATTTATATGTTATTAAAGTGTTTTATACATAAACATATTTTGTATTAAATAATAAAATGTAAAAAGCAAAATGAACTTATAATTCTGCGACAAAATAAATAAATAAAAGCTAATAAAAAATAAGCCATAATTGTTTCAGGTTTTGAAAAATCTCAAATATTTGATTATAAAATATTAATTGGAAATTTAAAATGTACTAGTTTGGTTTTCAGTTAATTTTAACATTAGTGGTCAAGTATGATGCATTTACATATACTTGTAGGAATGGTATTAATCTCAATAATGGAAACTTTACTTGCAATTTTATTTTTTACTTTCATATATTTTTATAACTTTTGTGTACATATTTATTTAAAGGGCATTTTTTATGGTTTAGAAAAAATTGTTATAATAGTTTTTTTTTTTTTTTTTTTTTTTTTTTATTCTTGCTTTATTTTCCTTTGAAAGTTATTTTTATATTGTACTGGTTTTCTTGTTATATTTTTAAGCTGGATGAGCAACGAAGGAATGAAATTTCCATAAATAATGCAAATCCTACTTCAGATGAGGAGAGCTTGCCCCTTCCATCTGTTAAGTGCCTTGCTACAAAATTTTCACCCAACGGTAAACAAGTATGTGTAATTTAACATACTTTTAGAGAAATAAGTACATACCTTACTCTGCATGCAGGGTTGCCACGCTATCTGGAAAACCGGAAAAAGTCAGGGAGTTTGAAAATTGACCAAAAAATTCAGAGAAGTCAGGGAATTTAAGTATTTTAGTCAAAATCTGGAAAAGTCAGGGAATTTCATACAACGATCCCGCCAAAAAAAAGCGAGTTTTGCGCCGACGTCAGAAGAGATAACTTTTTTTTCCTTACATGACAATTGTGTATCACGTGAGTGTCATTCAGGCAGCTGGCATAGAGCCAATTTCCGCAGCTCCAATTTGATTGAAAGGCAAAGCAAGTTTCCCGCAACTTTTGGTTTCAAGTAACCTCGAGAATCGCATGTGCAGTGCATGAAAAAAGAAAGTGCCTATTCTCGTATAAAACAAAATGGGTTTAATCCTAGTATGCGGTACCTAAATGTTAGAATCAAAGAATATGTATTGTAAAGAAGGAAAACCTCTCTGCAACAGACGTGGCTTCGTTCCATCATAGAGGGAAACAGCTGTGCATGTGCGATATATCTGTCGCCAAAGCTCGAAACCGGTGTCGAAGTTTGAAGGTCACTCAAGAGTTTAAAATGAATATCATTTAAAATTTTCTTAAACTCTAAAGAAAAAGAAAATATTTTTTTGCACAAGTAAATTAATTCATGGATTAGTTATTTCGAGGGGGGGAAACTACGAAAATCCGTAACGTTTCTTCTTGGATTTTTCGCAATAATTTAAAAACGGATCTTCGTAGTTTTCTTTCTTGTCAAAGAATGTTTCTTAACGCGTGTTTCTCAATTTCCTGTACGCATCGCAGAGAGGGAAATTCTGGCCGCCAGGTTCCGTCGCCAAATCCCTTGGCAAATATTTCCTCCGCTTTCTAGTGGCGTAATAGCATGTGGAACCTTTTCTTCTTTACATAGACGTTCTTTGGTTAGAATAATCTTCATGTATGGTACAGCGGGATTTGGCAACATGATGATGAGCAGTAAATGGGTCATTTTGGTCTTGGTGACAATTTTCAAAATCGTGCCAAGGCCTTACTGTATACTAGGATTTTACTACAAAATCAGTAAAATAAAAAAATTGTAATCAGTCATCTAGGCTAATAATATAACTATATTCGCTAAAATATTGTTGATTATTCTAATTCAATTTTTAAGTAATTTTTAAGTAATTATCTTTATTTTTGTTATTTGTATCATTTAATGTTGCTTCTTCCCTCTAAATTTATTTATAATTAGTAAATAATATTTCCAAATTTCAGGAAATTTTCTCTGGCATAATCCTAAAATTAATTCTAGCAATATGATGGCATACCATCACGAAATTTAATGCACATATTTTTTCCTTGTGTATGATGCAAAATAAATATAAAATACCTCAATTTATTAAAAAATTATCATTAAATAGATTTCTTTCGTTTAGCTGCAGAATGTTTGCAAAAAAATGCCTTATTTTATTCCAGATCGGGCAGATTCTAATCTCAGTCTTCAGTGTAGAAAACAACTCCTATTATATTTGTGTTTTCAAGTGTTAAGGTGCCTTTTAAGAAGACACGTCACACAAATTAAATTTACCTAAAATCTAACCTAACTATTTAGTCTAATTCTTGTCTTGCGTTGTGATATATAAGGACCGGATTAGCCTCATGTTGAACTGGCCGATGATCATGAGTAATAATTAAATAAAACATACAGTTGTTATCCAATGTATATCTTAAATTTTATAAGTTCGTAAAGTGGAAAAGTAAACAAAATTATCAAACAAAGTATACCAAGAATAATTAAGAATAAATGTCCTCTGGGATTTATTGAATAATTAAGTGAATTTGCTACACAATACAAGTAATACCATAATTAATTTACCTCTTAGCACAGCCAACGTACATTACGTGGATAAACTGGAATTTTCTTGAAACACACCTGGAAAAGTCGGGGAATTTCATTCTCCTGTTTGAGTGGCAACCCTGTGCATGTGTAATAATAGTGTTTATTTTAAATCAAATTCCTGCTGAGTAATAATTGAAGTAATTAATGAATAAAGGTTACAAACATTGTTGCAGACATGTGTGAAAACTGGTGGGGAGGATTTTATAAATACTATGAACATAATATGAATTATAAGCAATAAAAAACAAGCATTATTTATTGACATTTCTTATGAAATTGCATATCACACAACTGTTTCACGAAATAACTTTACATTATCCTAACATGATGCAAGGACTTCATCTGTTTGTACTTATGATAATGATTCACAGAAACATATTAGAAATTAAGTCAGTGCTCTGTTTCACAAGGAAGAAGAATGTAGGACCAATGTGATACACTAACATAAGCATACTTTTATGTACAGCCAAGCAGAGACTCAGTATTATGATTCACAAGGGAGAAGAATTCGGGAGTCCCAATGTTACACATTTACTTAAGCATACTTTTATGTACACCTATAGTAGGTAATATATTCCTATGTTCCAAGACATACAGCTGTTGTATGAAACCATAGATAAAGCTAAAAATACTATCTATGACACCTTACTTATATAACATATATAAATACTGTAATTTGTAATCAGTTCTAGCAGTGTCAGTGTTAAATAATATCTTAATAAAGGCTCTATAATCTGCATTGTGCATTTATAGTGCACTTCATTTCTCATTCTTTCATACACGTGAAAGTAAAAACATTTGATATTTAGTCTAATTCTTAAGAGGTAACAAAACAGGGAAAAGAAAAAAAAATCATTATACTTTCAAAAATGACTAGTAATTAAGAATCGTGTGTTTCCATTAAAGCATATCATAAGTAGTGAAATATTGGTCCAAATTATGTATTCTGTTGAGTATCAGTACGGTAAAATAGTTTTAAACATTTAATCTGCAATAAAATGAAATGTATTGCCATGGTTCACTGTATTTTTTTCTATCTTTTGTTGTGTGTTATGTAAATTAAAATAGTTTATTTCTCTATTTAAAAAAAAAATTAGGTTGCCATAAACTGTGGATAATTGAAACTGCGAATACTGAATTGATATAATAATGTGTATATGAATTTATGAAGAGACATACTTGAGATTATTTTAAACATGAAATCATGAAATGTGTCCTTTAATTCTATATCAGGAGTAGATGTAGTCATAGCACAATTCATACAGTTCAAGCTTAATAAAGCATGGCACTTAGGTTTGTAATAATAAATGTTAGAAGTGGAATGTCCATTATTATTATTATTTTCCTTTCTTTTCATTTTGTTCTGGCAAGAAAAAGAGAAGGCAGTCATGTTTATTTGAAAAAGGTAAGCATTAGAAGATTGAAGATTTTAATTTGAAATTTTGCAAACAAATATAAGGTTCAAAATTCTCTTCTTAAAAGCTATTATTTAAGGTTAGGTTATTCAAATATGGCAAAGCCACGAGAATATCTGCCTATGAGAGCGGTGCTTCGTCAAGGACTTTCTAAGAGAAACTGGATCATATTCACATTATACATGGAGAAAACCATTTTAGCTGAAATCGAACCCAAACAGGCAGAACTATTAGTATTCAGTGGACTTAACCTCTCGACCATTCGCGGGGCTGTTGCTGACGAGACTTGAGAGGTTATATTATTGATAATTAATGATGATATTAATGTTATTCTTAAGATTTTTCATATGTATCTCATGAATGAAGGCCATACATATATCAGGTGTGGTTATACAGCAGTTAAAAGTGTTTTAATTAGCTTAAACATTTTCCCAAAGAGGCCATTGCCTCAAATTTCTGTTGAAATAAAGCAGATTAGTTATAACAGGAAGGGAGAATATTGTAATTAAGGATGAGATAAAGGGGTTGAAAATTAAATAAAATATTATGTATATAGACAGAGAAAGTTCTCGTAGCAGAAGGCTGAAGTTTTTGTGTCTTTTCAATTAGTATTTAAATATGCTCAAAAAACATTTTTGTTATTCATCACTGAATACTCTTGATTTTGTATAATTTATTTAGAAATATCATCTATTCACACCTTTGTATGGTATTATTTGGCTAGCAAAAATTATATAATTTTTTTTATGTTTTTAGGTTATTTTAGAAGAGAAATCAGTTGTTACAGAAGACAAAGTGTCAAATAAAACGGAAGAAAAACTTAAGAAAAGTAGACCATGCATGAAAGTAAGTCTACTTATGTGAGGAAAGTAGGGAATACAGTAAACCCTCTCATGTTGGTTGCCTTTAAGAGTGACCAATATTTTCTGAGAACTTAAATAAAATAAATATCTACATTTAACCTTTCTAAAATGATCACTTCCACAAGTCTGGATGCTAAAACATCTGGAAATGTGAGAGGCTGTCTTAGAAAAGTTTCTATTTAAATAATAGGGGTAATGTTATTAATGAAAACTATGAGAGAATAGTAAATTGAAAATAAAATGCATGCACAACTTTTACTTAGGGCAAATACACTACTGGCTATTCAAAATACAGTAATTAAAGAACAAGAGATGTCAAAGACATATTTACTAGAAAAATAATATAAGGTGCAATAGTAGGTTGATTAAAATTACAGCTCCTTTCAACTTATGGAATGCAAAGAAAACAATATTTTGTAAAGGCTGGCAATAACTGCTGCAACATGCTTCAACCTAGAAAGAAAGAAGGTATGTGTCTGGATACTTCATATCATTTTTTGTTTCCATATATTGCCCAAGTTCATCAGGCATAGTTTCAGGTGGTGTAAAGTCACCTGTTTGCCAGTCATTGACCTGGTGCATTCAGTGGCCAATGTACTGGGAGAACAAGTGGATCAAGGCAACAGTGTAACCTAATGGGCAATGAAGAAATATTGAATGTTCTATGCTGTGTGCAGTCATGCATTGTCCTGCTGAAACTTGGTCACTGGCTCAAAAAATTTAGAGCTGTAGCAATGTCATCTAAATGTGTTGGCAGTGCATATTGGGTGGCTGCAACGGTAAAATTTATTGGTACTCCAAACCATAATCCTAGGTGATAGATCTATATTTGTTGCATAATGCAAGGGACATTATGTGTGTTACTACAGCTTTGCCAGACCATAGTATTGTAAGAATTAAGATTCTATGGAAAAGATAATATCAAGCCACTTGTTTGTCCATCTCCAGCATTAACCCTTTCTGGCACACCACAAAATTTTCTCTGTACACGCAGAAAAATTGAATAAAAAGGCTTTATAGATTACTATAGGTTATGTTTAACCTTGTTTGTTTATACCTATTTTGACAGCACAAAAAAAAAAAACAGTACATACATTTTAGCCATGTTTAGTTTTTAAGGACCCTAATTTTTTAAAGAAATCTTCCAGATTTTTTCTTAGGGTATAAAAGGAACTGTTTGAAAAGATATTTCTATGTTATTTTCTTGTCTGTATGTTAATCTCTTTATTCTATATTAGTTTTATATTTTACCTTGAAAGGCCTAAAATTGAATGACGAACAACTGGTGTGCCAAGAAAGAGATCACTGAAACACCAAGACCAGGCTATCTTTGTTTCACTGCAGTATTTCCTCTTCAGTGAGTTCATTTACAATAGAAAGATGCGTGCATATCTGTGTTTCATCTCTCCCCTCCCCCTTTTTTTTTTGGAGGGGAGGTTTGGTTATTAACTAAGAAATTGTTGGAGTGTTTTTCTGAAGGTCGGGTAATTTAGTTAACTCTTTGATGTTTCACTAGAGCAGTTCTCTTTTTTTTCCCTTCACTTTCGTTGAAAGAAGTTTTGTTAACTCTACGTTTTTATAATTTTGAGTTGTGGATCTTTATTTAATTTTATAGTTTATATTTTCTTACTTGTAAATATATGAGCTTCCCCCCCCCCCGATTTTTAATTATTTTGCGAATGGATTGGAGAACTCTATCCATTTTTGAAGCACTCAAACTGTTAAACAAATTGCCTTCAGATAGTGAATCCAATACACATCCCTGTACTTGTGCAAAACATGCAATATTGGGTTGTGTTGTTTTAAAAGGGTGTCGCTTGCTTCAAAAAGTACCACCATGAAAAGAAATAGACGAAAGTGTAAATATGAAATGTAACTATCATATAGCCAAGTTACCATTTTTTTTGAGCAGTGCAAGATTTTAGATACGTCATGAAGATCAGTATTTAAACAGCATTTATTAACTGAGTTTCTAAATTACTTATTTTAGTCTGTATCTTCATAACATACATTTATTAAGATGATATTTACATTATTAAAGAAAGTAAGAAAGCAAAATATGATTAAATTATAAGCTAATATATGCCAAGTAGTAAAACTTTTGATGACCGGATAAAGCCGCTCAGAGGGTTAAAAGGTAGCATGCCGAAAAGGGTTAGTGCACTGTTGTAGCTTCATATGCTTGCACTGTAGAGTCAACAACAATTATAGTAATGAATGCTATGCAAAGACAACATTGAATAGTATTGTGCTGGTGCATATTGTTTAGCAACAAACCCTAATTCTTGCACTAAGGCTTTTTATTTTGGTGTGCAGTGCATCACTGCCATACATGCATGTCTGGCTTTGTATTTGATGGTGCGACAAGGTAGTAATTCCCATCAGTCGGTTAGTCCCCGTTGAATCCACATTCACATCATTGTGGCTTGATTTTATCCAACATGAACATCAATTTCTCAAAAGAATAATCCACAGTGTCTACAAGCTAGTTCTTCCTCTGTCAAGCTAAGAAACTTGCTGCAGTTACTGCTCTTCCCCTCCCTCCAATAAGGCATTATAAAGCTTCCCTTGCTAAGGAGCAGCAGGAAAACTCATCATTCCAATTCTTGAAACAGCATACTGTTCTCCCTTTATATAGCACTTATGAATGACATTACTGGCACATGGTTTATTCAATTATAGCAAAGCAATAAGGCTAGCTGCCTAAAGGTAGGGATACTTTCGTGGAGGACTTTTTTAATGGAAACATGCTCATATAGACATTGCATATAGGGAAAATTGCAAAAACGGCCATGCAGCAAGCCCATTTGCTGGAATTCTAACCCCGGACCGAACTAGCAGTGTTCCGCGACATACACCCCTCGGCCGCTGGTGGGTGTTACTGCCACGATTTGCATATTTACTCTAATGCTAATCAGTTTCATGACGTAGTACACGTGGTGCAGATTTTAAGCATATTGACAGCTTCTTTCATGGTGGTGTATATTGGATGGCTGGTAGCATAAATAAATGCACAAAAATAATTTGCTGTTTTAAAGTTTAAATAATTAAATTAGTCTTTGTTTTTCCTCTAGACTGTGCACATGTGATTTTTAATTCCAAAATTTTGTGGTTTGAAACATAATAACTCAGCTTATTTCAACATCAACATATTATTGTACTTTCCTATTTTTCAGGTTCATAGTTTAACAGCTCGCAGTTTATCAAGGGAATTCCGTGATCTAGCTAAGCAAAACCTCCCCAAACCTATGAACAGGACTATTCAGGTGCCTTCCCATAGTTGTGATGAAGGCACAAGTGAAAGGGAAAGTTTATGTAGCCCAGAATCAGTGCAAAGTTCTTTCAGTGCAGCTCATACTGATATTGGTCATGGTTATACATCTGACGAGAGCAATACAAGTACGAATTCCATTCCCAGGTCAAAAGTACGAAGGCACATATCTAGATCCATTCTTCAGAGAGCTTCTTATTGGGAAAGAAGAGCTGAACAAGGTTTACTTAGTGATGCCTCTGTGAGTGAAGAATTTCCAGGCATAGATATCAATCCTGAATAGTATTAGTATAAATGTTTTTACCCAAAACCAAATTTAGTCTCATTCTTGAGCTCAGTTAATGCTGAATGTTCTACAGGATTATTTTTCTTACATTACAGATAGTTAATATTTTGTTAAAAGAATTTTTAGTTAGTTTCAAGTTATCCAAGTAACAATTTTTATAATTCTTTCCTTACATAAAATTACATATTCTTGGTTAAGTCATCTGTTACAGTTATTGCACTGCTCATTATAGTCTGTGTAATAAAAATAAAAGTTTTAAATGTGATTCAGCTAAACTGCTGCAACTATCTGAAAACATTCTAGGTGACTGAACAAATTGTAATTTTCAAAAACGTGGACCTAGGTAAATTAAAAGTTGGTGAGGTGATGAAGTAGCCTTAAATTAGTTGAACTCATATGGACCAGCAAAACTGTTCATGTTATCTAAAATTTCCAGAAATAGTTTCTTACTTTCATAATTTCTACTTTTGTTCAAATTAATTGAAATTTTGAGTTAAAGAGTGTTAATTGTATTCACAAAAGTTCTTTCAATGTTCATTATGAAATGTTTTCTTTTTTTTTTTTTTTTTTTTTTTTTCAAAAAGTATTTTAATTTTGGTAGGTTAACTGAGATATACTACGCAGTAGATGTGTATGCAACGAGGAGTAATGCAGAGTCAATTACATTCATTTTATGATGCAATACGTCAAGCATTTCTGTATGAAGCAATTTTTTTTTTTTTTTTTATATATAGTGGTTTCACATGGTTTTAAACTATTCTCATTACATTCTGCATTTAGATTTTTTAAAAATCTAATGTTTCACAATATACATAGTAAGTAAGAAAAAGCTTCAGCAAAACTTGTAATAAAAGTTTTGCCAAAAATGTCATATTCAAGCATATTCTGTTCCTTCCCCCCCCAGCAACAGTTAGGTACTTGGCCTTCCTACTAAGCTTTGTTATATTATGTTCCTCCTACCGTTGCTTATTTCCATTAGCTTGAATGTAGACTTCCTTGCATGATAGCAAGTATTCTATTTTTTCTCACGCACATACTTCTGTGCAGAATTTCATCTATTACTTGGTGCATCTTTTATATTCTACCTCTGGTAGATTTTGTGCAGCATTTTGTTAATATTGTTGATGGTTTTATTTCATGTTTTTTATATGTTAAAATGCATTGTTTATGTTTATTGTTATTTTACAAAATAATATACTTTTTTAAATTTTGTGTTAGGTTGCCATGTTATGCTTGATCTTACTATGTTTTAATTAATAGTGTAGCAATTTTTAAATCAATTTCAATACAGGGTATGAATTTTACATTATTTTGTGCTTTCCTAAATGTCCAAAGTAAATTTTATTACTGAAACTTGCACATGGATGGGAAAAACAGAATTTTTTTTTAATTGTTTTGTTTTCAAACTTTTGTTCACAATATTTGGTTATATTCTGAAATATTATATTAAAGTAAAATTACTGTATCAGCTTACTAAATACACAGAGTACGTAATTTGCAAGTACAAATTAGCTTTTCTTGAATACATAGGTTGGGGCAAAAGTCATGGCAACTATTTTTTTCCTTGAAGATACCAGTCCGGTTGAAAAATGTGACATATACAGACGAAAGGACAAGGTCTTAACTACATGTGTGGACAATGAATAGCATTGAAATATCGTAACACATGAATTTATTATGGTAGTATACAGAGCAATATAGCCTTCACCGTGCAAAAGAATGATAATACAATACACATAAAGTTGACATGAGAAACCTGGGCCTAAAGACCCTCAATGTAGTCCCCTGCTACTGTCACCACACGCTGCTAACGATGTGGGAGGCGCTGAATACCATCAGCCTCAGCATTTGCTGCACCATGTGTGAATCGGGTCATCTGTTGGCGCACAGCATTAGAAATCTCCTCTCGTGTTGCAAACCGCCAACCACGTATTGGTTCCTTAATTTTGGGAATGAGATCAAAGTCACAGGGGAAAGGTAAGGAGAGTACGGTGGGTGCTCCAATTCTTCCCATCCCCAACGTCGGAGTAGCTGCCATACACACTCTGCTTTATTTGGTCTTACATTGTTGTGCAGAATTTATTGCACTGTCCACAAGATCCGGACGTTTTATCCTGAATGCCACGTCGTACCTGTCGCACCCGGAAGTCTCTGTACTACTGTGCAGTCATCGTTCTTCCATGAGGAACAAAGTGGCAAACAATGACACCCTTCACGTCATATACGACGATCACCATCAATTTGACTGAGGAAGGATTTTCACGCTAGCTCATTATGCAATATCCTGTGGATGGTGTGTTTCTCGATGCTACTTGCCCTCTCTAACTCCAGTAATGTCCATCGTCTGTCTTCATCCATGAGATGCTCAATGATGGCACGTGCCAAGTCGGTCCGCACACTCACCGGTCATCCCGAACGTTGCTCATCACTGGTTTACACACGTCCTTGCTGAAACTTTCCTACCCACCGTTCTACTGTACGATATGGTAAGGCATTCCCAAGGGCTTCTACTAATTCACTGTGACATTCCATATCGCATTTCTCCGTCAGAGAACGGCTATTTTGATGTAAGCGCGCTGCTCAACACGGGTTACTTCCATCTCGCACAGCACTCACCAACTGACTGATTTCAGAGCCCTCACTACCACAAAGCCATCTGTTGTTCTGCACACACACTAAGCCTGCAGAACTTCCACACAACAGATATACGTTTTGTGATCCATTCACATATCCGTTCCATGACTTTTGCCCCAACCCTCGTATAAACATTTAGTGAAAATCTTTTATTAAGAAATGATTTAAAACTGCTACTAGTACTTATAATGCTTTACATGCATTTACATTAAAAAAGATCCTTCAATTTAAGCCTTGTAGTTTGATTCTTAAGAACTGTGTTTTTAAAAAAAATATTGAATTTTGTTTGATGATTTTTAGATAATAATTCTTTTGATGGGTAATGCTCAACCTTTTTTTTTTTTTTTTTTTTTTCATTACATATTTGATTCTGCTCATTAAGATGTTAATGCTGTTAATTTTCATCAGTCGGTCTGTTAATGAAACAATATGCAATTTATATAAAATGTTTTATTTTTCATACATTAACAGCATTTGGAAAACTATTTATTTTATAATGTACCTTGCATAAGAACAGCACATTATATCATATATCTTGTCAGAAATTTTTGTTAATGACTTAAGTTGTTTTGATTATAATGAATTGCGTTACTTAAGTATGGGAATGCGCACCTTGAAGATAAATTAGCAGTACTGCAAAATTCAAAATGAATTTCTATTTTTGATTATTTATATTAAATATTCAAATGTTTCAAATTATGGTAATGTGTTCGATTTTTATAATTTATTTTGTTTCATTAATATTAAAAGTGTATGCAGCCAATCCTGTTGGGGGACTTTAAACAATTCTTGTCCATTTTAACATACAGTTTATGAGATTATACCAGAATTAGAATTAATTGTGTTCTTTCATATATAGGTTTATAGATATTTAACTAAACCGAATTATACTGTAAAAATTCTCATCATTTTCTGGAATATTTTTACAATAGTTACACAATTTTTTCAGTGATCAATGTCTGATTTGTCCATTCTTATTAATTTGTTCTTGTTATAAAATAATTAATTACTAATTTTCTTTCATTTCTTTCTCCAGTTCCATTTAAGCCTTAAATTAAAATTAGAAGGTAAGCTTAATTAAAAAATTATATATTTTAATAACATAAAGGCAGAAAGTGTTAACTATTCTTGTTTTTTAAAAGTATATTCAATGTATATCGAAGTCAGTAATTAACAGGTTATTCAAATATTACATATAGAAGAAATATTAAGAGTGAAAATATGTATTATGAGTGTATGGATTTTTCTTGTGTGTTTTATGTATCAAGATGAATTTCATTTCCTTTCCTTTCCCCACCCCCAAAGGAGTTGCTTAAAATCATGGGTAGCTTGTATTTTTTGTATTCCAATAAAGACATATCTTTTATTTTTTTTAAGTTTATGTGGTGTTCTATCATTTAGCAGTATTATATTTTAAGGATATATGTATTATTCTTCCAATTACTGTTGTTAAACTATTTTGTAAATATTGTAAATTTGTTTTATTTCAGACAGTATTCTGATATTTTACTGCAATAAAGTCTTATTTTAAGACTTCCTGTTCTATATTATTATTACAAATGTACTTATATTTATACATGTACAAGAATTCCAAATCTTTGCAATGAAAATGTGTGTCATATTTCATAATAGTATTAATGCGAAGATTTGAAATTATTTAGATTGTTTAACTAGAATAAAATTATATTTTAATACTTTTTGGTCTCTTTTATAAAATATTTTTCTCCAGCACATTCATATAGTAACTCATTTTTTTCTGCACAAATTAAAACTCAAATACAGCCAACATTCATATATGCACTTGATAGTAATATAAGCAATTAGCAATAGTTTTGAAGCAGCAAATGGCTATTTTTTCAGCAAGATTTATTTTTAGTGATTAGTTAGTTCTGTAAGCAAGTATATATGTACAATCTGCTAGCATAAGAATGTTACTGCAGCAAATGCATCTGTGCAAGCTCCGTATTTAAAATTTTTTGGTTGCTAGTAGTTACCTCATCATAAATTTTATGTCAGTAACTAGACTGCGTTTTAGTTGCATTATTATCATTATTTAAAAAAAAAAAAAAAAAAAAAAAACCGGTTTAAAAAAATATTTTTCTCAAATTTTCTATTAAAAAAAGTGTTTGAAAATAGTAACAGACTGCACATAAAAGTAGATGTTGGGGGGGGGGGGGGAATGTGTTTGATTCTAAGACTTTTAATTAATTATGGTCTAGATTTCAATGCAGACAAAAGTTAGATTTTCAGACAATTTAATTTTAAAAAAATTTACATTTTTTCAAAAATGAAAGCAGTATACAAATGTATTAAAAACATGAGCCCAATATTCACAATACTACAGTAACATTCAGAAAATAAAAAGAAATTACTAGTAAGCACGAAAAATTTACTTACATATATAACTGACATAATAAGTGAAACAAATACTGTAATCTACCATTTAAAAGGTAGCATTCTTATAAATCACAAGCATTTTAAAAATTTAAGTTTTTTACATAATTATGAATATGGAAATTTCATTTAAAAAAACTGCTGCGAAGAAAAATATAAAATTTAAATATAATTTTAACACATTGATGAAAACATTCATATTTATAAAATTAATAAAAATTTTATGCTATATGAATTTCTTAAATAGTAATCTAATTAATATATATCAGTATATTTCACCGTTAAAAAATTCATAAAAATCAACTAAAATGTTATACAGAAACCAAAACTATAGTGTTTTAAATACACTTGAAGATATACAAATATTATAAATGATATTTTTTATTATATACAGTAAAAGCAAAATTTACACTTATAATGTATAAGAAAGTTTTGTAAAAAATTTACAGTTTTATAAGAAAAACTGGCAATTTAAAAATAACTACAGAGATATGTAATAAGACTTATAAGAAAAGCATTAAGAACAAATACCTAATAAATGCATTTACATGTTTCTTATACTGTATGCAACCTATTTTAATAAATGGAAAAGAACTGCCAATATGAACTTCAAGAAAATTTCAACCTTGGATTGAAAATGATTTTATAGAACAGCTATATATATTATGAGAAAATGATGTCTTTTCAAAATATTTTTGCACTTTCAAGAAGAGAGAACTGTGTCATATTCCCTTAAAATGCATACAGTTTTTTACAAAGCTAATATTAACCTAAGGTAGAATTTTGTCTAATTTGAAATGGTTAGTAAATGTAGAAATATAGAGAGAAAGAATTTGATCAAACTTTATTTTCCTTAAATTTGGTTTAAATATTTAAAAAGAAATTCAACCACTTAAAAGTGCCTTTTCGAATTTAATTAACAAGTTCTTTTTTTTTTTTTTTAGTAAATATTAATCTTATTATTAATGGTGATTCCTCCCCTAATTTTATTTTAATATTTTTTATATTAATTATATGTTCTAAAACACTGATCCAATTAGTTTTTAATAGTTTGCATTCTGAACAATATATACATATAAATAACATATGCTACAATTAATTATTCATTTTGGTTTCAGATTATGCAATGCCAATTCAGTTTTGTTTTAACTTCACCATTACTTTATGCAAAGCAACTATTGTGTTTTTCTTCCTGAGGTATTCATGTATTACCAGATTCTGTAGTAATTATATTGTTATTTATATTTTAAAAAGTATTTGCTTAAGTTCTTCATATATAATTGATATAATGAAAGGGAGATCAAAAAGATGTTTAAGATCCAACTTATATTCAATTGATATCATAAAAACATCAGGGAATGGAACAGTGGTATGCATGATGATATTTTCATTTGTTAATTTCAATGTTACTGTACATTAAATAATCCAAACAAATAATGAGAACTTACCATTCGGTCATTGATGACTTGGATTAGGTGCATAGCATCAGTTCTTTCCAGTTTTAACTAAATTAAGTATCAGGTCTATGCTCATCAAATGCAACAGAATTTAAATTTCTTTTAGTTATTCATAACATATAGTCAATGCATAATGTAACTCAGTGGGGGTATAATCAATGGCATGTTCTTAACTAAATAGGAAGATTATCTTTTTTAAAACATAGATAAAAAAAGGCTCATTCAGATTTTTTAGATGGTTCTTTTAAATTTTTTAGGAAAAAAAAAAGACATGTAATTAAAATGAAAGCATAATATAATATTGTTGAATAATATAGAATAAAGAATTGAAAAAGAATAATATATTATTATATATTACACAAGTATAAACCAAACTTGTACTCTGATGACTTTTTTTGTAATGTAAATGGCTGTTATAAAATTACTCCATAATATTCATCATAGTTTTAATGTGTTACTTATTACATATTAAGTATGAAATACATTACACAAATTTCGAGTGTACATGAAGTGCAAAAATATGCTTGGAGCATAAACGGTTAATTGTAATCAATGCAATTTCAACAGCTACTTAAGTAATTAACATTTAGCTGCACAAATGTTTTTCATTTACTGACCATAAAGATGTATATGTGTTTATAGTAACATTGGCAAGATAAAAACCATCCATTCAGTACAAAGTTAATGACAATCACCACAAAAAAAAAAAAAAAAAATCTCAATGAAATGAAAAATAATTATTAAATCAAAAGGTATTGATGCTAAGATATTTTGTGTTTTATTAGTTATACATCAATAAGAAAACAGCAGTCTTTCATGCTTGGCAGTGATTAGAATCCATTTTTGTGCGTATCAGTTCAAGCAGGATCAGATTTTGGAGCAGACTGGTTACCTCGGAATACATTATAACCATCTAGAGCAAGAAGTCCAACAACAACTGTTCCACAAACACCAAACAACTATAAAAGAAGAATTTTCAGTACATCAAGAATCAAATGGACAGAGAAAATATTTTGTTTTTCACGAGGTAAGACAACTGCATATTTCTGTATATAAGCATGCATTTTTCTTCAAAAATTACCCAAAATTCAAAAGCTTTATATAAGCTGAAATGGGAGAAGGGGGAATTCTTATTAATGGTGCGATCTGAGGTATCTGTATTAGTCTAATTTTCTATGCCCTTTTTATTTTAATATGAAAGATAAGCAACAAGATAATTCATATAAGCAAATTTCAAACTACAGGTTATTGTGGTTGATGAAAATTTGACATTTTTTCTGTTATTGGGACAGGATTCAGAATGTATGTATGTACATGTGTTTGTGTATACACATGCATGCATGCATACATACATTTCTGAAATCAGTCCCGACACCAGAAAAATGCTGAAAATTCCAACAACAGTTTTGCCGTTTCTCCATAAATGAAAAATAAGTTTGAGAAAAGAAATTTCATTTACGAGATATGTGTTAGAAGTGATTTTATTTTGTTCGAAGGTTTGGACCATTCTGTTTCACGCCATGTTCCAAACTTTCTGCTCACAAAATAAAATGTCACTTTTAACACTTGTATTACAAAATACCTATTACTTTATTTCATTACCGTTTTTGAAGGTAGTAAGTGTGTAATCATAGAAATGATTGCCCATATGTTGCATGTTAATATAAATTGAAGGGCTTGCAGCAAGAGACTTAATAATCAAAAGATGGAATATTTCATTTCTAAACAAAGGTGGGCCATTTTGTGTTACGACATGGCAAGATGTAAACACAAAAGGAGATTTACAACAACTTTCAAAAGACTGGATTTATAAACTAATGCCAAATTGAAAAAAAAAAATTCTTCGATCACAGATAATTTATTCACTTATCAGTGAAAATTTATACTGTTTTTGTTCCAGATTATTTGCACCCAAATTTAGACATGGATTTCAAAAGCGGTGGAAACTTGGTCTTAAAGCTCATAATCATGGGATATCCGAGAAGCATTTTACATTGTCTTGAGAAGCTGAAAACACAAAAGGGAATGAATGAGGCTACACAAAAACCAGTGACTATGAACACACTCGGGGGCGCAAGGCTCGCTCCTTATTACCACCGCAGATTCTTCCAATCCTTTCACCAAGTCTAAAATTATTTTTAATAATCTGCATACCTGTGGTTTCATGCAAGAGAAGATTTTCAAAGCTGAAACTTATTAAAAATTATTTACGTCCCATCATGGGACAGTCTCTTCTGATATTGCTGCATTATATATAGAAAATGTAATGGCACAAAGCATTAATTTTAATGAAGTGATTAAACGTTTCGCCATTACAAAAGTTAGAAAAGGAAAGTTTTAAATTACTTAATTTGTTTATGAAGTATTATAACAGTAGTCTGTTTGTTCCTAATTATTTATATAATTTCAATTCTATTTTATATGCACATAAAAATTTTATTAGAGATATTAAATTTCATATATTTTTTTAACCTAGTTTCACTTTTAATTTAAGGCTTACGATTGTGACACCAAAAGTTACCGCAAATTTTAGTGATACCACTGGAGAGAACTATGTGGTTATAGCAGATCTCAGCTACCTATCCGGCTGAAAGTGACCAAACGCTGATCTTCATTAGCTATCACAGCTCTTGGATAGATTAATTCTACTGAGTTTCCCCAAAAATGAAACCATGTCTTAATATTAATTTTTTCTCTAAAAAAAGCATTAGGATTTATTTTCAGGGGATATTTTATTTTTCATGCACAACGATTAATATTAATCCAATTACAATAATCTACATTTATTCATATACAGTCATATCACCTTCTATAATATTCAAGCTCCAAACCTTGAATTCTAACTTAAATTTTTCATGTCTAGAAGTATCGCTGTTCTTAAATTAGCACTTTTATTCTTGATGTTAGCCCATAATATGCATAATTAACACAGCTGTAGGTGATTTTATCCGATGAATGTTTCAGCCAAGCCACAACCTCTTTTCATCCTACGTTTCATGCAGTTATTGATTTCTGTATGTAAATGGTCCTTAAACGACACCTTTGTTGCAATATGAAGAGTCTGGCTTGTGGGCATAATTATTTAATCTAGTTTCCTTTCTTTGCATCTTTAGTTTTCATGGACCAGAAAATTTTTCTTGCTTCTGAATAATATTACATTATATACGGCCTGGATTAATTTTTATTTATTCCCCCATAGGTTACACTACTGGGTAACAAAAACTAAACTGGGTAACATTAAGGAGCAAAACAACAGTCCACCTTTTATATCTACCACTATCACAGCACAAACTGCATGTGCAAGTACATATTTTAAAAAATAAAGTATTAAATTTTTTTTAAATTTCAATTAAATTTGAAAAAGTGTTTAGTATCTTAGTTTTGAACACGTGTGTGTGTATGTCTAACATATATGTACCTATATGTAAGCATCTATGTTTATTTTTTGAAGCAAATGGACAAATGATGATCTTACCGCAGCAAAAATCCTAGCTACCTGACCAGTTTTGCAAGCCCCAATAGTCACAAACATCAGAATAGCAGCAATCAAGTATAGAATGGCAAATATCAGATCATTGATGAAAATCTAATGAAAAAAATAAAAAAAACATAAAAATATCATTAGAAAATAAATTATTAAAAAAATGGAAAATTAATACAACTGAAAAATATGTGTAATGTATATTGCTTCAATTTTCCAAATTGCTGTTATCGAAATTATTAAAATTTAATAGATAAATATGACTAAAATTTCAGAAAAAGTCTGAAAGAGAACATAGATACAAGTTAGTGAAATTCTGTCAAATGGCTCCAAGTTTGGTTATTTTCCCAGAGCTTTTGTATTTTTTGTTATCACCTAATTTATCCAGTGTCAGGCTTCTTTACTACAGACTTGTTTAAGCTGTTTCAGTTCTTAGGTCTTGATTAAAAAAGTATTTTGTGCAGATATTATTCTTAGTTATGGAATTTAAATACAAAATTCATTTCAGTCAAATTCGACTTTAAAAAAAAAAGGTGCAGCATGCGACTCAGAGACTTCGATTCAAATTTATATTAGATTATATGTGTGTGTGTGTGATTATGGCAAAGCTTCGAGGGCTATCTGCCTAAGAGGAGGAATGTCTTCGTGGAGGACTTTCTAAGGGAAACTGGCTCGTATACATGTTACACATGGGGAAAACAACGAAAACGCTCATGCAGGCAGCCCATTCATGGGATTCGAACCTCGGACCAAACTACCAGTGTTCAGCAACTTTACCACTCGGCCGCTGATGGGCTATATTAAATTATCGAAAAAGTACACTATGGCTTTTTGACTAAAAGGATGAATCACTTGAGGGAAGACTGTCTAATACGGAAACTGGCTTATATTTACATCACACGTATCCATTTGCTAGGATGAAGTTAATTCAAATTATCAATGTTCAGTGATCACATCCACTGGACAATTAGTAGGCTAGCAATGGACATCATCATGTAGAAAAATCAACAGTTGCATATATTTATTTATAGCTATTACCCTTCTCTTTTTATTTTGATTAAAATGGAATTAACATTGAAAAAATACTTGAAAATAAATTTCTATTTAATTTTTTTTTAATTAATTTTGAGAATAAATGTTTTACTTAAAATAATAATTTTTTAAATACAAAAAATAATTATCTACAACCATTCTGATTTTAGTCAATTCAATTTATCCACATTCTTCTATCATATAACACATTCTGCTACAGCATTTTGTGTGTGCATTTCCCAGCAGTACCTCGGCTGCTCCACAAAATAAAATGAATAAAACTTGATTGAAATAAAGAAAAAAAATTAGAATCATAATATGAAATTTACAAATCACATTCTGAAAGCGAAAATTCTGAAACTGAATTTCATGTCTCCTTTTGCAAACCAAGCAATACATTACAGAAGCATCTCGTTCATTCCCGTCCTTCGAGAATTCGTGGAATCTTCTCAAATCTGCACAAAACTTACTGCATATCAAATAAAGATGGCTTAGAGTCACTTTACACTGAACGTTTATAGCGATAATATTATGATTTCTTACCCATTCTTCCATGAGTTTTCTGTGTATTTTTTTTTCTTTGTGAGGTCTTAGTTCTGTAGCTAATACTTTTTCATTAATAAATATAATAATAAAAATAAGAAACTTTATAAAACCACTACCTTTTAAAAGCAAAAACCGTAGTATTAAATGTCCAGTTTTGAGAAAGGCGGTCTGAGGTTCTCCTACCCCCTTTCCCCCACCATTGAGCTTTAGAGAGAACTTTCAGCTCGCCCTGTATTTTGAGCATCTCTTGCTGTACAGATACATATGCCCACAAATATCTATCCTTCTCCAGGATTCGAACCCAGGCTCATCGGTACAGTAGTCAATGCTGCTAACCACTGTACTGGCTGGATGGCATGGAAGTAAGGTAGTTGTCTCCAGGAAATGCATTAACATAGCTGATAAAACTGCATGCATATATAATAGCACTTTTAATGGACAACAACACTGTAAAGGCAACAGTTTTATATGAACAGAGTGGGTGTAACTGGTACACTGGCTAAAGTTTTCAGCAAAATGAATCTATCTTTACTAGGAAAAAAATGCCAAAGTGTTTTCTTATGTGTTAATTGCAGTGTGTGAAAAATGAAAATAATGTTTGCATCACTCTTTCAGAAAACTTCTTGGACGAAAATAAGATAACAATTGGCAGTTTGCAATCTCAAAGTTTTGAAAGACTCCTTTGCATTTTATTTTCTGACAGCTTAACTGGCATTTGACAAATAAATATTGTTTAAATAATGTTGTATTGGAAATTAATGTAATTTATTGAAATTTGGAAAAAAAAAAACTTTTATGTATGGCTAACTTTTGATAATATCACGTTGAGTTTAAATTAAGACATTAATTACACTTTAAAGTTTTAAAAATATATAGAATTTCATGAACATTGGACAAAAGTTTAGATAAAGCACTCATTGACTAGAGAAGCTGATTTTAAAAAGGGTCCACAAGTTAAAATGTTTGGGAACCGCTGTACTATAGCATTCAAACGTGCCTCAAACTGCTAAGTTGTTACGCTGTGAGACAACAAGAAACAGCTTGGATATTATTGACCATCACTTATTACTTACCTAGCGCAGTAAGAGCTCAGTCTTATCACGCGCATATGGCACGAGGCCTTAACCAATGTGCGATTAAGTTATTTGAATTTCAGAATCACACAAGGACTAGTCAACCAATGGAATAAGAATTCATGTTGAATTTGTAGCTTAAAAAACGTTTTCAGGCCCCAAAAGTTTGATAACGCTTCACATGCAATACTCAAGAAAATGTATAGCCTATATGAATGAGTCACAGACATTGCCACATCCCTATTATTATCCCTATTGTTATCCAAATTTAGCCCCCATCTTCTCTATTGTTATTATAGCAATTCCAGAATGGATACCCCCTGAACCAAGCATCTTCTTTAAACAAGGAACAAAACAGCTTCCAGACCGCTTTGTTGTGATCATCAACATAACTTTGAAAATAACATGCTTTGCAAGTATATAACCACTGCACTTCTTTACCCATCTATTTGCCTCCAGGGCATATCTGATGCATAAGTATTAGATATGTCCTAATATACATATGTATGCATATTCTTCACCACTGAGAGGTTTCTCTAAGATAGCCATTTGCATGAATTCACCACAATCCTAATAATATTCAGTTTCCAATACAAAATTATTATTATGCTTACAGAATTAAAGATTCATTTAGTTTTTATAACGATTTATCAATAGCTGAAGTTTTGAGACATTTAATTTCCCCCTATTTAATTTCATTTTTTAATTCTTAATTTTTTCCCATTTAAGTCTATAACATATTTCCTTGTTGATATTTGTTTATTTTTACATTTTTTTATCCATAACTTACTTCTTAAAGCTTCCTGTTTCTTATGTTATCCCAGAAATTTGGTAAGTTTTAAAATATAATATAAAATCCGCGGAATGATGTAACAGAGTGTGGTTTGCAATATAAGACTTACCACAGAAGCAATTATTTTAGGTACGCTAATACATTTTAGGTCTAACTTTCACCAACAGATGGCATACTTAGTTTCATTCTGAACGCTATAAGAAAAAGCTAGACTAGGTTTATTTTAATATAGAAAAGGAAGCAAGGGTTATTCTCTTAAGAGGAGGGATGCCTTCGTGGAGAACTTTCTCAGTAAAACATGCTAGTATTCATGTTAGACAGAGCAAAATCCACAAAAACCAACCATGCAACAAGCCCGTTTGCCTGGGTTCGAACCCAGGTCGAACTGTGGCAAACCAGAAGGAATAGGATGGAGGGAGAAGCATGTGTTTTAATTCTAAACAAGAAATTTTAAACCTATTAAGTAGGTTGTAATGTCATCTGGGAATCCCAGGGCGTCCACTCAGACTATCAAGAGCTTTGGTTCTATCATAGTCAAGTTTAATTGTGAACATTTTTTTCTGTAGTTTCTCAGAAATCAGTTCGACCACCCTGCAGAGCTGATGATTAGCTGGTAAGTTTCGATGAAAGCCAAACTTTTGTGGAATGATGATTCTGTTGGTGATGAAGACCCTGAGTTTTGATAGTTGCATGAATTGCTGCTTCAATGATCTTGCTAACTAACATAGGTTAACACACTGACTGGGTATAAATTTTTGGCAGAGTAGGAGGCTTGTTTGAGAGAGATGAATGCCGTTTTCATGGGTGACCGGATGTAATCCATGTTTAAGAATGATGCTGGCAATTTTTATCAGCAGGAAAAACATTTCTCTTAGTGAGACATTCTTTACCATTTTACTGGTGACTTTATCAAGGTCAGGGCTTCTCTTCGTAGTCTTTTCTCATATAGCTATTGATTCAGAAGGAATGCTGAACTTATGTTGAGTATGGATTTGCTGTGAATTGGACTATTATGTTGTGTGAATTGGAATATCATAATTGGTTATGTTATAATAATTTGGTTATGTTGAATGTTACTAGCGCAAAATTGAAATTCTATATGCGCAGCTAAAAATTCTTCTTTCTCAATTTTAGTGTAATGGATTTTGGTAGTTCAGAATACCGTTTATGGGCAGAATGTTTCTGTAACTTTTCATGACGTATGTCCTAGCTCACCAGATAGAATTTTATCCTCAGTAACGAAATTAATATAATTCGTGCAGCTGAGTAATACTTGTTCATTGGTAAGAAATCTGACAACATCATGCAGTCTACTAAGGATTGTTTGCCAGATTTTGTATTCTTTGCTACTTTCTGCGAGCGATGTTTTCTGTTGAATAATTGAATAAGATTTTTCAAATCGATGCCCCTTCATGTTTTAGTCTTAGGCCCTCTAGTAGAAGGTTTTTTTTTTATGAGATAATTTCATCCATGGATTTCCTGTCCAAGCTGTCAATATCAATCCCCAAGTGCATTGCTACAAGCTTGAACTGGGTGCTGTTTAGAGTCTAGCAAAATTCTGGCAATTAGTAATCGCAGCTCCATTGTCTGATGGAATATAATAACTATGCCTAGGTAAATTCGATGATTAGTAATCGCAGCTCCATTGTCTGATGGAATAC